TGTGAGCCTGAGTCCGGAATTGTGCATGGGGGCACTTCTGGGTCGTGTTTTCACGGCCCGTGTCTCCCACCAAGACAGCCAGAGGCTGGCGTGTGCACTAACCCCCAACGTGGTACATCTCAGACAACTTACTAGGGATCAGTGTCCTGTTCTGGCTCCTTCGAAGAGCAGTACTGGAAAAAGCAACAGGGAAAGTGGCTTTGCAATTAAGACAAAGCCATCTAGATGAGCTGCAGGGCTGGGTGAGGCCGTTGTCAGAAATCCCTACATCTGTGTCTGTCGAACTCTTGTCTATAGAAAAGCCGTTCTGGAGTTGCAGATTATTGTGTTAATTCTGCCGTTTGCTTATAGTTGAATAAAAAGAAAAACACTGTGTGGATGAAAAAAAAAAAAGAAGTCAAAGGATGCAACTGAGAAAGAAAAGGACATGAGAGGACTCAGTTAAAAAAAAAAAAAAAAGATGTATCCTGACGATAAACCTTTATCACCGGAGTCCTTATCAGAATCAGATTATATTGAGGGGGTACGGGCAAAAAAGAAGAAAAGCAGTGAAGAATGAGAAAAAGTAACAGAAAGAAAAAGCAGCATAAAAAACAGGATAAGGAGAAAAAGATGGCGGCAAGTTCAAGTCCTGACTGGTCATAACATTGTAAGAAAAATCAGGTTTCCTTTATAAAGAAAGTGCAATGTCTAAGGAAATTTCAACTGTGAGAATTAGGACATAATTACTAAAATGCATGAATGTTCCCGTTTTTAGAATTAGTCCTATTCAGTAGCCATGTGGATGCCACTGTGTGAAAGGGCCATAGCTGTTGCCTGCTGCTTGAACATCCGTTTTTTTCTCTTCCAGTGCTTAACAACTCTGGGAGATATTACACTGCAGTTGTGCTAGTGGTTAAGACATTCGGGGATAAAGTTAATATGTCTGACTAGAAGTATCTCATGATAAGTCAACAGAAGTTGAATCTGGATACATCATTAAGGTATAATCAGAAATGATCAGGTGACTCTAGATAACATTTTTGAAATAGGGATCACATTGATATTTCAAAATCCTTACTCTGTAGATAAGTGTATTTTAATTTTGCCCCTTCTATACTTTTATATACCTGGGGAAGGAGCTTTTGGGGGGGGCTGCTAACTCTTCAGCTAGCAGAAGAGCATGCTTTTTATCCTCACACATCCTATTTCTGCAAACACAGTAGCCATGCTTCATGGGGAGGGCACAGCAGGGTACAGCACTCTTGCCACTGGACATCCTTGGACTCTGTCGTTTGCTCTTTTAAGTGAACCAGAGAAAGAGCCCTTTGCAGCATGACAGAGCCTCAAAGGCTCTGGAATTTACCTCCACTTCAGTAATGCTGAATGTTTTTTAGCATTACAAAGTGTGATAACATTTGAATTAATTCTGACTACACTTTGACTTTGGAGGGGAATCATTTCAAATAGATATTGGTACTTTTTGAAATTGACTGCCAAAAATTCTAAAATGCATGTTTTATACTGTTAGGTTTTAACTAGTCAGGAATATTTTATGTAACCAGTGATAGTTACTTTTGTTATGAATTTGGTTTAGGTTGTAATGTTTAGCTTTTATTAACTCCTTATTCTTGCTATCTTAAATTCCTTGCTGTATTTAATGGCATACTTGCCAAGATATCTAGCATGTAAAACAGACAAACAAACAAAAAAACCCAACAGGCTTTTGGGGCACCTGGGTGGCTCAGTCGTTAAGCGTCTGCCTTCAGCTCAGGTCATGATCCCAGGGTCCTGAGATCAAGTCCTGCAGGAGGCTCCCCGCTCAGCAGGGAGTCTGCTTCTCCCTCTGGCCCTCCCCCTGCTTGTGCACTTGTGCTCTCTCTCGCTCTCTCTCTTAAATAAATAAATAAAATCATTAAAAAAAAACAGGCTTTTGATTTTTTTTTTTTCAAACAGCTTCACATTGAAGCTGAGACTTACCATAAACAAGTTGAGTGGCAGGTCTGGTATGCTATGTCTTGTTACAAAAAGCTACTGCCAGAATCTTAGTAAACACAATATTTTAAGAAGTTGTCTTTGTATATTCATAACAAATTATGACAAGTGAGAATTACATTATGCTCTTCCTGTGTCATATTTTACTAAAATTTTGTATCTCGTAGCTCCTGCTGAATTGTTTACTAGTAATGTTAAACAGAACTGATAAATCATTTTTACTTTATATTTTTATATAATCAGGTAACATGAAATATAATTTGATGTACAATTTTGCCTGTTACAGAGGGTGTGCTAATTATAGTGGTATATACACAAAACATTTTGGCATGACAAGAAGCTAAATAAATAGCTATTTCACTTTAGAAGGAAAAGGCTGTTATCCCTAATAAGTTGATTTTGTGTAAGATGTGATGATTAGGTCGAAGTTCATTTATCTGTCGATGGCTGTCCAGTTGTTCCAGCACCACTTATTTGAAAGGCTATCCTTCTTCCACTGAATTAATTGTCTTTGTTCCTTTGTCAAAAATCAGTTGGACACATTTATGTGGTTCTGTTTCAGGTTCTTTATTCTATTCCTTGATCTGTGTCTATCCCTCCACCAATAACCACAAAGTCTTGATTACTGTAGCTAAACAGTAAGCCTTAACACTGTGTACAGTGATTCCTCCCACATTATTCCTCTTTTTCACACCTGTTACAGCTATTTTAGAAGCTCTGCTTTTTTGTATAAATTTTAGAATAAGCTTGTTTATATCTTCAAAAAAAGATCTTGCTGTGATATTTAAAATTTTTTATAATTGGGGACGCCTGGGTGGCTCAGTCAGTTAAGCGTCTGCCTTCGGCTCAGGTCATGATCTGAGGGTCCTGGGATCGAGTCCCGCATCGGGCTCCCTGCTCAGTGGGGAGTCTGCTTCTCCCTCTGCCTCTGCCTCTCCTCCTGCTTGTGCTCTCTCTCTGACAAATAAATAAATAAAATCTTAAAAAAAATAAAAATTTTTATAATTGGGTCAAAAATATTTAAGATAAAATTTACTGTTTTAAGCCTTTTTAAGTGTATGATTCAGTACTTAAGCACAGATGCTGCAAAGATTAGAGAACAGTGTGAATACCTTTGTGTCAATACATGTGAAAAAATGAAATAATGCCTAGAAAAGATTATCTTAAATGACTGAAACAGAAAGAGAAAACCCAAAATATCCTACAACTTTTAGAGAAGTTGAATCAACAGTTAAAAGAAAATGCCACAAATAAAAAATACTAATGATTTTACAAGGGAGATCTATTAAGTATTCAAGGTTCACACAATTCTAATCTTATATAATCTCTTCCAGAAATGAGAAGAAATCTCAATTTATAATTATTAAAGGTGAGTTTAACCTTGATATAAAAATGGAACAAGGACAGTAAAAGAAAACTAGATGAATGGTGGTGTCATTCAGAGAAAGGAAGCATGGGGTGGGGGGCTAAGGTCATAACAATGACTACGTGCCGACAGCAGGAGCTTGTGATTATCCAGTTAGAGATGTCTAAGCAGCGACCGAGAATAGTGGTCTGGAGCGCAAGGAGAAGCTGGGCTGGAGATAGAACTGAGAATCACCCATACAGAAAGAGCACCATAAGTCCTTTAAGTGGGATGGAATTACCCAGGGAAACTGTGTAGGATGAAGACAAAAGAGAATCAATGCCTGATTCCCAGACAACCTCAATGTTTAAGGAAGGAGATTCCCTAAAGAGCCTGGCCAGAGAATCAGGGAAAGAAAGGACCAGGAAAGCAAGAAAGACAGCAACTCCAATCACTCTGAGAAGGAGAGGAGACTAGAGAATTTGGTGACTGGCATCCGCTAAGACAAAACAGTTTCAGGACGTGGTGAGCGAAGGAGGCACCACTGTAGGCTGTTGGATGAGTGGGTGAGAGGAAGCACAAACAGGGAGCCAACACTGGAGCAGGCTGGCTGAGGAGGGAAGCAGAGAGTGTGTAAGATCAAAGGGAAGAGCAGACTAGAGGATGAACACACGGGTGGACCAGCTAGACAGAGAAAGGGAAGCAGTTGGTGAGAAAAAAAACAACACAGAGCCTATCCCCACATTCCAGGAATGAAAAGATTCTTCTGAAAAGATTCTTCTTTAGTCGCAGTCCGAAGACATGAACACACAATCACCAGGACTCGGTTTCAAATCCCTCCTAACTGATCAGTGACGACTTGCTTCTGAGAGTCGGCAAACGGCCTCAAACCAGGCCCGTGACCATGTTTCTATGGCTAACGCTGCACCAGTCCCTGAAGGTCCACCCGGCCCTGGATTCCACATTCACCCAAAACAGAGGGGGTAAAATCGAAAAGTACTGAGGCAAGGCCTGGAGGACACAGTGGCAGATGACAAAGAGCAGAAATGAGGCCATGGGTCTTAGATAAGAGGGAGTCCGTGGATCCCCTGTGAACTGAGAAAAGGGTGGGAGTTGATAACATCGGTGGCAGCAGCAGACCTGCCTTCAGGTCACATACACAAAACTCGGTGACGTGGAGAGGCTACGTGATCTGTGTAGGAGAGGCCAGGACTCACACAGGGCCCGTGCTCGCACATGCAACCTCGCGCAGCCACTCACTCCACTCCACCCTATCTTTACACTCTGACAGCAGCTGCAGCAACTTGCCATATGACACTTTCCACACTCGGGCTCTCATCAGTGTGACTCCTGCATACCCTGACTCATTCCAGAACTGAAGCTCTACAGGCTTTTACATGGGAAGTGCTTAGTGAAGAAATGAATCCAGCGGCAATTGCCAAACTTGTTACATGCCAACTTGCTTTCAAAAGGGCTTATAGTTCTCTTTAAGTGGTTTAAGCCACGCCTACCACAGCCTTCTTTATGGTGGTCATGTGCTCAGCACTCCTTTCCCATAGATACTACCAAGGCCAAGCAATATCGTACACCTCATTCACCTCAGGTTCCAAATTAGTTGAGTCAGTCTCCACTGAAAAGATTTCACTATGTCTGCAGGTTGAAACCAAAAAGTACTTCTTACCTGAATTTTGATGGGCCAGGTAAAATTACTGACATAAACGAAGAAAGTGATATTTGGGTGGTTGCGAAAATCGAACTTCTCATTAGAGAAGCTATCTTTGTACTCCTTAATGTTGGTTTTTGAAACAACAGGCATCTCTTCTCCAGCCTGGGTTCCAGCTGTCAGGAAGAAAAGAATGAAATACAAGGGTCTTTTTTTGGGGACAGATTCTGCCTTCATTAATGACAACAGTTAGCATTTACTGAACACTTACTACGTTCCAGGAATAGCCTCTAAGAGCACAAGCTCATTTAATTCGAACAACAATTCTTACTATTCTCATTCACAGATCAGGAAACTGAGGTTTGGAGAAATTAAGTAACTTGGTTCAGGTCACACAGCCAACAAGCAGCAGAGCTGAGATATGCAGTGGGAAGGCTGATACGCAAGGCTGTGCCCTTAACCAAAACAGTTCTGCCAGGAGTCTCTGCGACTCCTCTCCACTTAAACAGCTGACACCTAGCTGTGAAAATACAGATACCACTAGAATCCTACTAACAAGCAATGACTTTCATTCTGCATGTAGCACTTCAACTGCTTTGCATATCCCTTTTAGACCTGTTTGTCAGTGCTCCTGATCCCCGTACCAGGGACACTGATTGACCTCTCACTTCCTAATTAGCAGTGACCTCACGTCTCAACAGCAGCAGGGAAGAAGGAGCTCTAGAGAGTCACCCAGTCTCTTCTGCTATCAGCTACAACTGTATTTAAATCCCCCCAATCTGGTATAAATTCATGCTATTCCCAAACAGTCCTTCAACATTCCATTTTCTCCCTCAGCCTGGAATTCTGGTGTCTACAAAGATTCGTAAAATAGATTTTTAGCATGTCTGCATTAAATACTGTGACTGGAGCCCAGACTGCTGGGTCCTCATTGAGAGAATCATTGAAAAGCATTGGGGCGCCTGGGTGGCTCAGTCATTAAGCGGCTGCCTTCGGCTCAGGTCATGATCCCAGGGTCCTGGGATTGAGCCCCTCATCGGGCTCCCTGCTCAGCGGGAAGCCTGCTTCTCCCTCTCCCACTCCCCCTGCTTGTGTTCCCACTCTCGCTGTGTCTCTCTCTGTCAAATAAATAAATAAAATCTTAAAAAAAAAAAAGAAAAGCATTCACATGCTCAGAGATGTTGCCCTTCTCCCAATGTTCTGACAATTCAGACTTTTTCCTTAAAAGTATCTCCTCACTGCAAGTTTCTGAACCTTTTTTGAATTCCATACAATCTTAAAAGATGATAAACATAAGATGTGCAAAGGTAATACTTAATTTTGTTTCAGTCTAACTGGTTGTGTTTTGACCAAAAATCAGTACTGGAAGAGAAGTGATAAGGAAGCATGGTTACCATCCAGTGAGAAACTGCTGGGTTTCAAGCGCTACACGGACTACTTCTTTATTGTCTCATTTCAGTCTCACTATGCTGTGCACGGCTAGGTGTTTCTATCATCCCTTGTATCCACGAGCAAACTGGCTCAGAAAGCTTAATCTACCCAACCGCACAGTGCAGCGCGGTTGGTAACGGGCAGAGTTCAAACCCATGTCTGTCTAGTCTGTTGAGCTACGTTCGTAAGCGCTACATCAGGCCCGCCTGTCACTTCCTCAGTAGATCTTCCGCCCACATAGTCTTTAGTGAATCGTAGCAAGATAGACAAGAGAGCAAACACTATGCTCTTAGAGCTCGATTCAATTCCCAAATTCACCTTCCTGTACCTACCAAGATCTCATTCTAAATATTTCCATTTCTCACTTTTGAGGCCTGGACGGGGCCAACGGTGGGAGCGCCAGAGCAGGGGCTGCAGCTAGTGTCGTGGGCAGCAGGGCGGGGGGCTGAGCGTGCGCTGAGCCTGACACCACCCGAGGCACACGCTCGTATGACCTGATTCAATTGACACAACAATTCTAGGAGGTAAGTATTGCTGTCTTCTCTTTGTGACAAATCACGCTAAAGTCTAGAGACAGGTTTAGACACTGTTCAAGGTCTCCCAGGTCATAAGTGGCAAAGGTGGGTTTCAAACCCATCTGTCTCCAGAGCCCCCTTTCTCAACAACTACACGTATTTCTCAATCTACTACCAATCTACTCCACTTGGAGGGTCTTCTTCTAGGTATGTCTTTACCTGAGAAGCTGGCGGCCCAGGTGATGTTGAGGTTGAAGTTTTTGGAGGCATTGATGAACATGTCCAAATCCCTGTTTTGCTGAAGGGCGGTGCAAATAGTTAGAAAATTAATTACAACAGTTTCCAGATTTTAAAATAAAGTAGCAATTAAATTTTATTACTCTCAATTTTCTTAACTACAAAACAGATATTTTACAGTGTCTTAAAAGAAACTCGCACTTAGTAACATTTCTAACCAATATAAGCAATATAGCCCAAGTAAATTTCATTTCTCTCTCATAAATGTGTATGTAATTTAATGCTTTATCAAATGCCTAACTCCATGAGAAAGTATGTTTTAAAAAGCCCCTGACCAGAGCACAACAACTTTAATCCTATGATCCATGTTAGGGGAGTCAGCCTCCTAAAGGATCCTCTGGGCAGCTGTTTCCAAATGTCTGGAGAGCCCATGCTGATAAGTAAACACTGAACCAAGATCTCAATTTATGTGTATTTATAAATTAAAGCTATGTACTTCTGAGCTGATAGATTACATATCCTATAAAGTTCTCCAAAGTGGGGCGCCTGGGTGGCTCAGTTGGTTAAGCGACTGCCTTCGGCTCAGGTCATGATCCTGGAGTCCCGGGATCGAGTCCCACATCGGGCTCCCCGCTTGGCAGGGAGTCTGCTTCTCCCTCTGACCCTCCCCCTTCTCATGTGCTCTCTCTCTCTCTCATTCTCTCTCTCTCAAATAAATAAATAAAAATCTTAAAAAAAAAAGTTCTCCAAAGTGGAAATGGGCTCCCTGCTCAGCAGGGAGTCTGCTTCTCCCTCTAACCCTCCCCCATCTCACGCTCATTCTCTCTCTCTCAAATGAATAAATAAAATAAATTTTTTTTTAAAAAGCATAAAAAGCTGAAATGAACTAACTTAAAAAATAATTTGACTGTATTCATTCAGGACTTAAAAAACATTTTCCCTCACTAAAAATTTTATTTCAAGAGAAATATGACTGAATATTCTTTACTAGCTTTGAAAATCTTATTTATCACTTAGAGATACAACAATTTGAAGAGCTAGTTTTGTTTATTTTGATTCTTGGTTTTAATGACTGAGAAAGACATCTCCAAGAAATGTGTTGAGCCAACAGATAGAAGTGCACTGCTGGCTACACTGGATAAACTATACTACGAATTTTTAGTTTTCACTGAAACTTGACTAATAAATCTCTTTCTTGTGGTCAAAGAATTATGTATGCAAATTTTATATTTTATTTATATATATATTTTACAAATGGATCCAATCCTGCTGAAATTCTTTATCTTGAAAGACCAGAAATCAAGTCGGAACAATAAGATTTTTAAGGAGGTTGTTTTGATGGTATTTACAGCACAAAATCTTAACAATGGAAACATTTCTAAATAGCCATTTTCAAAATGTGATCTCCAAACCAGGAGTTTCTCTCCCAAAGCAGTTAGTTACCTTCTTGTTTATTGATATAACCTCACCCTCCTCTTGCAGGAAAGCTCAAGTGTTTATTTTTTTTTTTAATATTTGGTGGAAGAACACTACTTACAATTACTTCTTTCCATAGAAAGGATCAATAAACTTGATATCCTGGTGCCTTTTTTTTTTTTTTTAAAGATTTTATTTATTTATTTGACAGAGAGAGAGAGAGAGCACAAGTAGGTAGAGTGGCAGGCAGAGGGAGAGGGAGAAGCAGGCTCTCCGCTGAGCAAGGAGCCGGATGTGGGGCTCAATCCCAGGACCCCAGGATCATGACCTGAGCCGAAGGCAGCCACTTAACCGACTGAGCCACCCAGGCACCCCGATATCCTGGTGCTTTTATAAGAGACAGAACATACATCTTGGATAACTCTATTAAATATTCTGTTATAAGATAGACAGGGAACTCCAAAGAAGTCAAAAGATTTTCATGGTCACTCACCACATTAAGAAGTATTGCCAAGAGTCTATTATGTTTATTTAAAATAAAGTTAACATCAATTACATCCTGAAAGACTGAGTACTTCAACCAATGCTTATGAATAAGATATTAAATAAATTTCATGTGTGGTACTTTTGCTATAATCTTAGCCTAAAATTTTTTTTTTAATTCCAGTCAATACAGCCATTCAAATGATATGATATACAGTCTGTCCACATAATATTTTCATTTAAGTTCATCTATTATTTTTACTTAAATTCACTCTCTAGTACATTTCTTCTTAATTTTATCATTAAAATGGAATATAGGGCACCTGTGTGGCTCAGTTGGTTAAGCAACTGCCTTCGGCTCAGGTCATGATCCTGGAGTCCTGGGATCGAGTCCCACATCGGGATCGAGTCCCACATCGGGATCCAGTCCCGCATCAGGACCGAGTCCCACATTGGGCTCCCTGCTCAGCAGGGAGTCTGCTTCTCCCTCCGACCCTCTTCCCTCTCGTGCTATCTCTCATTCTCTCTCTCTCAAATAAATAAATAAAATCTTTAAAAAAATGGATTATAAAAAACAAATCTTACTTTCATTTAATTGTAAACATCCCACACTCTGGATTTTGTTCTACTACTACTTTATTTATACTTTAGATTTAGCAAAGCTTGTTAACAATAACATTTGTTAACAAAGGAACACAACCTGGCTCACTGTCATATTATTTTCCATGTATTATTTGTCATGTTTATGGTGACAGGAATTTTGTAATGCTAAGTGGCTTTGTGTATGTTGATGAGAAATAAGAAACCTTCAAGGAGGTTCCTAAATAATGTATCATCAAGTTTAGTAAAATTTCATTATGTACTGGAGTGGCCACTGAATGACTGTATTTCATTGAAGAAACTGTATAGGTATGTCTTCATGTTCTAGACGCTTCACTTTTAAATGTCATGCTATGTTGGCTCCCTTCTACCAGCAGGTAGTACCTTATGTCAGGCTGGGGTTCCTCATTAATGAAAGGAGATATAAATCCACATTTCAAATAGTCATCCTAATAATTCCAATTATTTCTGGTTAACTTCTTGTTGGACCTGACTACACCTTCGCAGTTTTTACCTCCTAACAAGGCTAACAACTTCCTGTAGGCACAGGAGTATCACCTCTGCAGCCTTCCTTGTATCAGTGGCATTAATTTCAATCCGAAGTTTCTTTGCAGGTACTTGTTAAGCCTCTGGTCTGTTTTGAGAGAGTAAATCTGGGCCCTGTCACGTGCCCCTCTGATTGGGGAGGTCCCCTTGTAGTCCCCTCTCCTTTTCTGTAGGGGCTGCGATGGGCTGATGGGCAAACCAAGTATGTGTGGAGTCAGTGTCAGTCTGGGTGTCAGATCCTGGTAAATCTGAACACCATTCTTGCCTTTGAGATGGAGAGGAGATAAAGTGTAGCTTCTAACATTTCTTTCCTGCACCTCTAAACATAGTCCTGTGTACTCCACTTTGGAGACCACTGCTAATGCTTCTACCCATAAAGATCAAGAAAAAGATCCACACGAATTCAAGACAAAGCAAGAAAACTTTTAAAATCTTACTTCATCAGGCGTAGCCACAAAATTGATGGCTGTGTAATAGCGGTCATCTTCCTGGGATAGGCTGAAGGTGAACTGATAGTCAATGAGAAGAGTATCTATGGAAAGAAAGAAATGTGTATTTAAAAATTAAAACAAAACAAAACAGAATAGATCTCGAGAGATACAGAGTGATCTTCTTATAAATACTCAATAGCTGGGAAACACTTTTAGCTCACTTTTACCTGGGGACTGGGAGGCTTTTCAAAGGAAGTCAAGTCTGTGGATAGTATCATTTTACTTGGAATAACCTATCAAACTCTCCTTATATCATGACCCTGGTTGAGATTTTAGGCTCCAACCTAAATCACCTACAAATATTAATTGTGTTTTGCTTAAGGATACAAAGCTATAAATTAAGGATATAAAAGGAACCAAGACTCTATGGAAAAATGGTTGATTCCAGGTCTGGAGCAAGGAATGTGTGCCTTGATTATCTTATTCTCGAAAGCAAAAAAGCATTCAAAGACTAAGGTGATGTAGCAAAAGAAAATAGCTTTAAAGAGAACCTACTGGACAAAGATGGTATAGTTTTTTTTGTTGTTGTTTTTTGTTTTTGGTACAAAAAAGGTGATTTTATTCAAGAACAGGAACAGGACCCGTGGGCAGAAAGAGCTGCCCAAATATGGTATAATTTAATTCTAAAAAGTCTATTGTACAACTCAACAACCTGATTTAAAAATGGGACAGAGGAATGAATAGGTATTTCCCCCAAGAAGATATACAAATGGCCAGTAAGCACACGAAAAGATGCTCAACATCATTAATCATTAGGAAAATACAAATCAGTTAAACCACAATGAGATACCACCTCATGCACAGTAGGATGGCTACTATCAAAAAAACAGAAGGTAAGTGTTGGTGGTGATGTGGAGAAAATAGAAACCTATGCACTGCTAGTAGGAATGTGAAATGGTACAGCTAATGTGGAAAACAGTATGGTAGTTTCTCAAAAAATTAAAAATAGAATTACCAAATGATCTAGCAATTCTACTTTGGAGTATATACCCAAAGAACTGAAAGCAGGATCTTGAAGAGATATTTGTTCACCATGTTCATAGCAGCTAAACATCATAGTGATTATTCACAATAGCCAAAAGATGGAAGCAACCCAAAGGTCCATCAAGAGTATACATAAAGTGGAATATTAAAAAGGAAAGAAATTCTGACATACACTACAACCTGGAACAACCTTGAAGACACTATGCCAAATGAAATAAGCCAGTCACAAAAGACCAGTACTGTATGATTGTACTTATATGAGGTGCCTAGAGTAGTCAACATTATAGAAACAGAAAACAGAACGGTGACTGCCAGGGGCTAGGGGAAGAGGGAAATGGAGAGTTGTTGACAAGTTTATTTTCAACTGTTTAAGAAACTGCCAAATGGTTTGCCAAAATGCCTATACCATTTTATATTCCCACAAAGATGGATGAAGGTTGTGCATAAAGGTTCTAGTTTCCCATATCATTGCTAAAACCTGGTATTTGATACTGGTTTTATTTTTTCAAGATAGATAGGTTACAGTGTACCAGATTACAAAAAGTTCACTGATACGGTGGGGCCTCTGGTGCCTGGGTGGCTCAGTTGGTTAAGTCAGACTCAAAACCTGAGTCCGACATTCGTTTTGACTCATGATCTCAGCGTCATGAGGCTGAATCCTCCCTCGGGCTCAGCAGTCAGTGGGGAGTCTGCTTGAGATTCTTTCCTTCTCCTTCTGCTCCCCCTGGCTATCTCTCTTTCTCTCTCTAAAATAAATAAATAAATCTTAAAAAAAAATTGTTTCTGGGGGCACCCAGTGGCTCAGTCGGTTGAGCGACCAACTCTTGATTTCAGCTCAGGTTGTAATCTCAGGGTGGTGGGATTGAGTCCCACATCTGGCTCCACACTCAGCATGGAGTCTGTGGGAGATTCTTTCTCTCCCTCTGCCCCTCCCCCTGCTTATGCTCTCTCTCTAAATAAATAAAATCTTAAAAAAAAATTGTTTCTGACCTATATCCTAAATGTGAAATATGTTGACCCCAACCAGGTAATGGCAAATGAAATTAAGTTTCAAGAGAACATATATGAAGAAAGCTAGAGGTGTGTATCTCTGTTATTCTCCCCTGATATCTGCTTTGGATACAGTAACATAAACCACAACCATAATTAACACAGCTTAAAATGGTGTTCCTATATGTAGTAAGCGTAATAGAATGGAAACAATTCCATGAATGGTTGCTATATTCTTATAGCACTTACCATTCTCAAACCATATTAAAGCAAATAACAAAGTTTTATTGACATACTTTGCTTCTAGACAAATATGAATTGCGAAAACACTTACAATAACATGTTCCTTTGAGAGGGTTTCCCTGGTATCGATTTTCTACCTCGCATCTAGGGGGATAAAATTGAAGATTATTTTCTATTGCTAGTTAAAACAAAATCTACATTCATCTTAAAACCAAGCAGATCCTTCTATATAAAACTACACTACAAACAAGTGTGAGTCAGCGTAATCACATTCTTCACTGTCACTCAGATCAGGTAGGCTGAGGAGAGTCTGCGTTCATGCTGAGTACTGCCTACCCAGCAGTTCACACCACCTGCCAACTGATAAACATTTGCCAAAGCGCAGGAGACAAATCCAAATGTAATAAATCTAGATCCTACCCATTATCATGAAAAACACATTTCCACTTTTGTGTGGACTAAATATTCCTCTAAAAGTGAAGTTAAAACATTTTTCAAATATTCATTTCTCACTTCCTTCCTATTCTCCCTGGATAAAACTGATCCTGCTCTTTAAAAATAAGAAAAGGCTAAACACTGAGAATCACTTTCATTTTTTTTTTTTTTTAAGTCCTTGAACGTGGTTCACCAGTCTGGAGAAAAAAATAAGTTCTAGTAAAAAAGAATCATTACTTTCCCCCACAAATATCATCTGTGAACATCAGCAAAACCCAGTCTCCCACTTCACAAGGCCATTTATACTGGCAGGGCCAGCAGCTAAGAGCTATTAAGAAAGTGGGGAAAGCTTGGGTCAAGCACTTTTCCCAGAGAAATAATACACCATATTGTGTCCTTGGATCCAGGGTAATTCTTAGTGCTTGCTTGTATCTAAATCTCTTGAAGAAAAAGTCTTTCAATGGACCTACGCCTCGTTTCGTTATTGCATGCCTAACTGAGGGCAGCAGTGATTAATTTTGCTCTATTATATTGTTCTGTTGAAAGGAACCTAGGCCCAAAAGCTAAACTTAATTTTTGATTAGACATTTCTTCAAGGCACCATGAAACCAGTAAACATGCCCACTGTTGTAAACTGTAAAATGCAGACAGAGCAATTCCTTCCTTGAACATCACGTTACTACGAGTGCTGAGAACAACAAAGTTTACCAATGAAGTATCTGCTTGTCTCAGCTCAATGTTGTGATACTACTAAACATCTCTCTCTCTTAAGTCTCTTCTTGAGAGAATGAGTAAACCCGGAGCATGTGTTTTATGAGGTTTTCTAGTGAGGCAGACAAGTATATATTTGTCAGGGAACAATCTCGTTTCAACTCATCATGTCACTAAAAACAATTATTGCTAGTCCTGCTATTGATGAATAAGGAAACTGAGGCTCAATTCAGTAAAGTGATTTGTCTCAAGAGTGCCCTGCTTCATGGAGGCAAAGCCAGGGCTAAAACTCCATGTCTGTCTGACGCTGTTGGCATCCTCATGGATGGGAACCTCAAACTCTTCCCTGGAAGATGTCTAACACACTTCACCAAGAAAAATGCTGGAACAGGAGGGATGTGTTAAAGGCCAGGGGATCATTTCCACTATCAGACAACCAAAATGCTAAATAAAACACTGTCCTGGAATACCAACTCTTCCAGCTCTTTCTCGGGAAAGGGTACAATCTCCTGATGTGACAAAAATTGAACAGTAATTGAAGTTAAAAGACTGATCCAAGTCAGCAATGCAGGAAATGTCAGTGTCACTCAAACATAAAAATGTGACCTAAAGAGCCATCAAGTAATTGCTGCTGAACCTCTTCAGTATGGAGGCTGACCGAATTAGACCTGTCTGAAATAGAAAAGGCAGAATTCCAAATTCATCAACCCGGGGATCCCCCCAGCGCCCATGACAAAAAGGCACAGGGAAGGGGTGGCTCTTGTGGTCCAGCAGCTTCACAGTCCCTTGGCCTCCCTGGTGGTACAGACCCAGCTGGCCTGGCTGCCAGTCACTAAATCCAGATGTGGCCTGTGGCAGGGGTCCCAGGAGTGTGGTACTCACAGCTGGCACTCATCTCCCTTGACGCCCTTGGTGGTGCAGAAGCACTTGCCCGTGTTGGTGTTACAGAGCGATGCGTGCCCATTGCACTTGCATGCTGGGGAGAAGGAAAAGGAATGGAAGTCACAACTGGCTTAAAAGATTACCACTATCATAGACATTTCCTAAAACACATAATTTTATCTGAATCGGATTCAATAGGAAAGACAGATTAGAATGAAAGCATTTAATGGGTAAGATTCAAGTTTTCCAGCTAAGATTTATCTCAAATAATGTAAAGGCAATGTTAAAAGAACCAAAGTCCAAGGACGGGAGGAAAGAGAAGGCTGGCTTCTACTGCTATCTGAAGCAACCATTCTGATCTATTTTGATCTTCTCAATAGGCTGTTTTTCACTATTATGACTCTTTCATTCATTCAGTAAATATTTATGAAGCATCTCTAGTGTGCCAGGTGCTGGGTATGGGGGCACAGACACAGTCCCTGCCCCCAAGGAGATGCTCTGAGCAATAACCACTCCTGAGGGGGAGGCTTGGTCTGGCTGCACTCAGCCTCAGATGAGGTGCCTGCCCCACAAAGACCACGTCTCAAATCCTAGCAGGGCTCAGAAGTGAGGTGAAATCACAGTGGCTGGTCAGTGTTTCAGAGGCCCCGCAGGACTCACAGAAATGGGCACCCATGTCTTGGGGGCCTCGGGCATGGGGTCCTGTGCATAGTCCCCACCCAGTAATGCCACGTACTGTGATTACTGTCAAACGATGAAGTCCAGTCACAAGGAATGGGAAAGATATTTTTACTAAAGACCTTTTAATCTGAGCAGGAAGTGTTCTTTAAGAGTGGCAGGCAATGGCCATAGAAGATTACTAATAACTGCCCACATTTCCTGAGCGCTCACTATGTGTCACGCACTGCTCTGACCACTTCCGTCTCAACCGCAACCCTTTTATCCCCATTTTATGGATGAGGAAACTGAACCCCAGAGAGGTTAAGGGACATACTGATAAAATGCCAGCTCTCTCCTGGTTGCTCTGGGATCAGATTCTCAAGGGCCAGGCTAAGGAGTTTGGAGGTGGGATTTCGGGAGGAGGTAGAGATTTTCCTTTCTTATTTATTTTCCTGCTCAGAACCCGAAGGGTCTTCCCATTGGAAATAAGAACAAGCCAAAAAGCAGTTTGCCAGCCTCACTGGTCATTTAAAAAATGTATTAATTTATGTTCTAACACTAAAAAGTCCTTGCTTACAGGAATCTATTTGACATGCATGGGAAAACCTTTAAAATATAATAGAAGTGGGGTGCCTGGGTGGCTCAGTCGGTTAAGCGTCTGCCTTCGGCACAGGTCATGATCCCAGGGTCCTGAGATCCAGTCCTGCATCAGGCTCCTTGCTCAGTGGGGAGCCTGCTTCTCCCTCTCCCTCTGCCTCTCCCCCTTGCTTGTGTGCTCTCTCTCTCTATTAAATTTAAAAAAATAAAATAAAATATACTAGAAGTACTGGGGAATCCGGCTCCTGGTTAAAACCCCATGTGTGACTTTTTGGACTCGACCACAAGCCAAATCCCAGGCTTAGCCAGCAGGTCTCCTGCGCCCGGGGGCCATCTCTGAGGGGAGCTGCAGTCAGGGTCTCAGGCACCCCCACCCCCCAAGTCAGCCGTGTTCGGTCACATGCTTGCATTCCTAGTGCAGGTGACTTCGTTCCTGAGTCTCTTTATCTGGGCCTTGGGCAGAGACCTTCTTCGGGAGCCTTGTTGAGCCTCCTCAGGAGAAAGGCGGGGAAGCCCTGAAGATGCGGTCCCTACTCTCAGTCCCCAGCACTTACTCCCCCTCCCCTCTCCAGGGTCCATGACAGGCTTTTGCTGGAGCCTTCTGCTCAGGGCTCTCCCCTCCTCTGTGCTGATCCACCTGACCCTCAACCAGCATCCAGTCCAGGAGGGAAAGGAACGTGCGGACTCAGCTTTCTCGCATTTAGGTTTAAGGCTCTTGCTTTACCACCACAGTAACTGATTAAAGGCCTAACTCTTCCATTTTTGGCTTGTTGGCGTTAACTGGCTACTCTGATACTTGGCAGCTCTGCTCACTGTCTCCCAGGCTTAGCTGAGCTCCTGAAAAGTATGACAAGAAAGGCAGTATCCTTTCTTGTGGCTTCTGTCCTCCTAGATACTCAAGTCAAATTGAGGCACAGTGTTCCAGCTGGTTTGCAATCAAACCCTGAGGGATTTGACTTACGCTGACATCTCCCCCCGTTGGTGGGATCACCATAGAAGCCAGATATGCAGGTCTCGCAGTGCTTGCCTGTGGTCAGGTTCTCACATTTCTCACAGATACTCTGATTAATGCACTTGCTGTGGCCATTGCACTGGCATGCTGAAAGAGAAAGCATTAAAAAAAGAAAGAAAGAAAGCATTTTAGGGGGCCTGCCCCATGGTAGAAGAGGGTGGAGTAAATTCCACGAGATTTATTTGCAACTATCTATTTAAGTTCCTTATTACCTCTAAATACAAAACTATTAAAACTGGCACACTAAGAACTCGTTTGGGAAATAAGATCAAAACATCCATCGCACCATTTGCAACGATGTGGATGGAACTGGAGGGTGTTATGCTGAGCAAAATAAGTCAATCAGAGAAAGACAAGTGTCATATGATTTCACTGATATGAGGAATTCTTAATCTCAGGAAACAAACTGAGGGTTGCTGGAGTGGTGGGGGGTGGGAGGGATGGGGTGGCTGGGTGATAGACATTGCGGAGGGTATGTGCTATGGTGAGTGCTGTGAATTGTGCAAGACTGATGAATCACGGATCTGTACCTCTGAAACAAATAATACATTATATGTTTAAAAAAAAAGAAGAAGAAGAAGATAGCAGGAAGGGAAAAATGAAGGGGGGGAAATCGGAGGGGGAGACGAACCATGAGAGACTATGGACTCTGAGAAACAAACTGAGGGTTCTAGAGGGGAGGGGGGTGGGGGAATGGGTTAGCCTGGTGATGGGTATTAAAGAGGGCACATACTGAATGAAGCACTGGGTGTTATACACAAACAATAAATCATGGAACACTACATCAAAAACTAATGATGTAATGTATGGTGATTAACATAACAAAATAAAAGAAAAAGAAAAAGAAAAAAAATCTATCCAGGGCTAGTCCAGGAAAATCAGAAATATACCACAGCAGGATGAAAGTTCACAGCCATTAAAAAAATAATTTGTGGTTGTTCATAAAAATAATGTATGTTCATGATAGTAAATTTGAAAAAATATAAGGAAGAGGGGAAAATCATATTCAACTGCACCACGCAGAGATCACTGTGGACGTTTGGGATTTTTAGTTCCAGGAATTTATTTTCTCTATATAGTTTTACATAGTTGTGCTCATATTAATACACAACTTTGATTTTTTTTTACTTACAGTACACTTACTTTACCACATTATTTCATCTATCATAAACAAAACCTTAAATGGCAGAATGATTTCTATGAATCATAACAGCTATTTAACCATCCCCTTACATTCTGATATTTAGTTTGCTTTCAATTTTTCTTTTTTAGAAAAATAACCATCTTTATATATAAAAACATTCCCACAAGTGTAATTAATAAGATTCTTGATGCACACAGGACCTTACAACTAGAAAGGCATATGAAACCTGGACCTCTTGGGACTGCTCAGGACAGCTGTTTAGGCTGTGCACTGCAGACTCCAGTGGGCCATTCACAAAGTGCACAATCTACACCACTGCAGGCAGAAGACCTGACTCTGTAAATCTGTCTTTCCCCCCAGCTTTACTGAGACACTACTGACACACAATATTGTGTAAGGAGTTGAATGCACTGATTTGATACACTAATATATCGCAAAATGATTTCTACCCATGGCGTCAGCTAACATCTTATCACATAACTACTATTTCTTTCTTGTGGTGACATGTCAGGTGTACTTTTTTAGCAACTTTTGCAGATCTCTCTTGCTTGATCAACGCGGTATAGCTTTCCACCATTGTGGCAACTTTTCATAGCCTTGCACCTGTAGTTTACGCACATGTTTCCTACCCCATCACTGACGTATTTGACTTGTTCTATATAGGCTCTAACTGAAAGACTTAACTATGACTATAGCAGTTATTATTGCACCATAAATACTTAAGAGGTGTGGGATATGCATGTCATTCCTGTGAAGATGAACAACTATATAGATACCAAAAGGGAAAAGCACAACACACACAAAAATGCAGAATCTAAAATCATTTCCCAATAAAATCTGTATTCTAGATAAAAAGACTAGAAACATGCTTCTCTCTCTCTTTTCCCCTTCAAAATCCCACTGAAATTACTGAAAAAGTGTGAAAACAAGGATAAATCCATAGGAATATGGGATAAGATGAAAAGGTGTATCAGATGTATCGAGAGGTACTTCTGAATTACTGAGCAATTTCTAGAAATTATAAAACAGATGGTGTCAATCTGACAGAAAAAGGGAGTTGAGACATCTGTCTGCTAATGTAGAAGGAGGGGACAGCTAAAGTGACTAGATGCACTTTACCAACTGACACCTGAAAAATCCAGCTGGGGCTGGGAGACAGAACAGGCCCTGGGAGAGCAGCAGGACGTGCCTCCCGACCGGTTCCGTGTCTGTTCAACCTCCCACCACAAACAAAAATAAACCCAAAATGGCTTATGGACCTAAATAAAAGAGAAAATCTATGGAACTTTAAAAAGAAAAGAGTAAATCTTTGTGATCTTGGGTTAGCGAGGCACTGATTTCTTAGGTACAATACCAAAAGCACAGGGGATAAAATTTAGAACTTTTATATTTCAAAAGATACCACCAAAAAAGTAAGAAGAAACCCTCAGAATGGGAGAAAGTATTTGCAAATCATATAGTCAATAAGAACTTGTATCTAGACTTCATAAAGAATTCTATGGGTTGACAGTAAACAGACAAATGAACAATTTAAAAATGGGCAAAGAGGGGCCCCTGGGTGGCTCAGTTGGTTAAGCGTCTGCCTTTGGCTCAGGTCATGATCCTGGGGTGGTGGGATCGAGCCCCGCACGGGGCTCCCTGCTCCACGGGGAGTCTGCTTGTCCCTCTCCTTCTGCCCCTCCCCCCTGCTCATGCTCTCTCTCTCTCAAATAAATAAAATCTAAAAAAAAAAGAGAGAACTTTTTAAAAAATGGGCAAAGAATTCAAATAGACATTTCTCTAAAGAAGACAGAGATGGCCTGCAAGATGCTCAACTTCATTAGTCATTAGAGAAATGCAAATCAAAACCAGAGATACCATTTCTCACACACTACAACATCTGCAATTAAAAAAACAAACAAAAAAACCCCCCAAAATAGACACAAGTACTGATGAGCACGTGGAGAAGTCTCAACCTTTTCAGGCTGGCTACTGAGGGTGAAAAATGGTACCGCTACTCTGGAAAACCCCGTGCCCATTATTCCTCATTCATACCCCCAGCCCTGGATGATTGCTAAGCTCTTATTTGTCTCTAGATATTTGTTCTTTTTTGGACATCTCACATAAATGGTATCATATAATAGGCAGTCTTTGCATCTGACTGCCTTTTCATAGCATGCTTTTGAGACTCATCCGTGTCACAGACTACAGTACTTCATTCACCCCTTTTATCATTTAGCAGTATCCATCATATGAACGTATCACATTTTGTTTATCCATTCACCAGCTGAGAGACACTGGGTTGTTTCCACTTTTGTCTGTTATGAGTAATGCTGCTATAAGCATTCACTGCAAGTTTTTGTGTGGACATATGTTTTCAATTCTCTTGGGCATATACTGGGCCATATGATAACTCTGTTTAACATTTTGAGAAACTGCCAAACTGTTTTCCAAAGTGGCCACACCATTTTACATTCCTTCCAGCAATGTGTGAGGGTTCCAATTTCTCGAATGTTGTTGAGCATCTTTTCCTGTGCTTATTGGCCATTTGTGTATCTTCTTTGGAGAAATGTCTATTTCAATCTTTTACCCATTTCTTAATTGGGTTGTCTTTTTACTGTTGAGTTTTAAGAGTTCTTTACATATTCTGGACGGTAGATTCTTACCAGATACTGTATATGATTTGCAAATATTTTCTCCCATTCTGTGGGTTGCCATTTCACCTCATATACTCTTGATATTAACAAAAATGCACAGACTTAAATACTTCATGAGTTAAACTAGTAGATTAGAAACAGAATGATAGATCCTTTGACATCTTAGAGAGGAAAAAAGGGAACACAGAAAATTTAATTCAATGTGAAGGGAAAAGACTGGTTTCTTATTTTGCATTTCCCTGCTCTGTTTCCTTTTCTGAGAAAGACTTCTTTACATCCATTGCCCACTTTTTCTGTTGAGCCAAAAGTGCTTTCTTCTGGAGGGTAGAGGTTTGCATACTCAGGATGATAATCACTTATTATATGCACTGCAGGTATGTTCCCCCAGCCTGTCTCTTGCCTTTTCCCGTTGCTCACAGTGGTCTTTCCCTTAGAGAAGTCCTCACAAAGAGCCTTGTTGTCAGTGGCACCATCCGACTCTTGGAGATGTTCCTACCCACCAACCTCCTGGGGGTCTTTGCACCTGCCTAATCTCCCCCAGCTGTTCTGGAGGTCCATCAGCATATTCCTGACTATTTACTGAAAGTCTGAATCAAAGGCCAGTTTCTCAGGGCAGCATCCCCAGCAGGTGTAGACTCAGGCTTTAGGCCAACTCATGATCTATTCCTTTTGGCACCAACCACTGGAAAGAAGGAGGGGAAGGGAGCAGGGGGAAGAGTAGGAGGGGGGCAAAGAGGGAGAGGAGGCAGATAGGCTTAATTTTTCCTCTTGCCAGAAGGGATAGGGACCTTTTCCCTCTCTGTTTTCTTAGAGCTTTTCAAGAAAACCTGTATTTACAAATCCTTTCTCTGTTCCTTTGATACGTATATGTATGTAAATCTTTAAAAAAAAAAAAAAAAAAAAAACCTCTCGTCAGCACAACAATCCAGGAATGTTTTCCTTAAGGGCCTGGGAGCCATCACTTTGAAATGTAAACATCAAGGAAGGCAGCACTCTATATCCCTATCACTTTGGGAATTCAGTCTGGGTGCATTTGTGCCGAAGTGTAACCATCTGCTTGCCATAAAGATAAAGGAATTTTTTTTTTTATAAAGGCAATTAACTAACACAGGTAGCCACCCCAATTACCAAGTAAATTCAGGATGAACTATGAAAGAAGGTACAACAACGGTGCTGTCAAATCCCCTCATATGAGGACAAGTTATCATTCATCTTCAAAACATTTATGTAATGGATTGTATATGCCTGGCTATTTAAAAGGGTGAGATTTCTCTGTTTTTGCAATCTCGTTAGTGGACTGACTGTAGGGTGCACCACAGTCTGGTTTGATGCTTATTCAAAATAACACCATTTTCTTTTTTTTCTACATTTGTGGAGAGGAATTTCTGGGTTGGTAGGAGTTTTTTCATTTTTCCCCTAACAATTGCCACAGTGTATTTTTCAGTAAAAAGCAAACTACAGAACAATATATATCGTATTAATCCTATATAGCGTAGTATTTCCTATTTTTAAAATAGACGGTATCTGTATTAAACCATTAAAAGTTGTTAATTCTGTGAAGAACTGGAGAAGAAGAATTCCAATTTTTATTTTATCTACAGCTGCAGGATTTGCTCATAATGAACATACTTCAATACTTCCACAGTGAAAGCAAAACACCTCACAGGAACTTCTGTGTTTTCATGAATTGACATTAAAAATATTGTTCCTAAAAAAAAAAAGTATGTATATATTTTTCATGGAAAACTATTTTTCCTAAGATGATCTATTTTTTTTCCTAAAGGAAATTCATATAAATAATGTAGCTTTCAAAGTTTTATTCTTTGTAAATAGGTAGTAAAACCCTTGATTTTGGATACACGAGACATCTTACCTGGACAATGAATGAAAGACCAGTTGTATCTGCTGTCCTCCAGGCACATGCTGGCATTGAGAAGGGGCTGTGGGTAGGAATTCCCCACAGGGGCCTGAGAAGGCATCTTCACTGGTCCTTTATAGGAGCCCTCTATGCATTTGCCTTTGCCCGTGTTGCTGGGATCAGTGCACCAGCCGCAGCCTGGCTGCTCCAAGCAATGACTGCAGGTACAATAGCCTGAACAATTTTCAGCTGTAAAAGAACACAAGTTACAATTCACTACTGCACATAGCTTTGAATTCACTGTATTTAAATTACCTTTTTTAAGTTTTTTTTTTAGATTTGTTCATTTTAGTAACCTCTACACCCAACGTAGGGCTTGAACTCACAACCTGGAGATCAAGCAATGCGTGTTCTTCCTACTGGGCCAGCCAGGCACCCCTAAATTACCTTTTATTTAAACAGACTATTCTGTCAGTCAAAATTCCTATTCTAAGGTGATTTTTTAAAAAAGATTTTTATTTATGTATTTGACAGAGAGAGAGAGAGCGCGCACAAGCAGGGGGAGCAGCAAAGGGAGAGGGAGAAGCAGGCTCCCCGCTGAGCAGGGAGCCCGATGTGGGGCTCGATCCCAGGACCCCAGGATCATGACCTGAGCTGAAGGCAGAGGCTCAACTGGTCGAGCCACCCAGGCGCCCCCTAAGGCGATTTCTTAAATGACACAATAAATTTAAAGAGCCCAATATCTTGCCAACATAGAACAGGGGTTCCTCCCCTCCTCTATCAATCCCAGGATGTGGAGGCAGAAGGACCTTAGCAGTCATCTACCAGAAAGCACTTATTTCATGAATCAGGAGAGGAAGATGTGGAGACATTACATGGATTGAGCAATATGATACTGAAGCTGAGCAAGGGGTTTCTGTACTCTGTGCTCTGTCCTACAGGGCTTGATTCTTTTTTTTTTTTTTTAACATTTATTTATTTGAGAAAGAGCGAGAGAGAACGAGTAGGGAGAGGGGCAGAGGGAGAGAGAGAATCTCAAGCAGATGTCCCAACTGAGCAGGGAGCCCCGACACAGGGCTCAGTCCCACGACCCTGAGATCATGCCCTGAGCCGAAATCGAGAGTCGGATGCTTAAGCGACGGAGCCACGCAGGCGTCCCTGCAGTGCTTGATTCTGCATGAAGGTTCTCCTCCCCTCAGGCGGTCTCTGGTCTTGCCCTGCGGCAGGAGCCGCTCCCTTTCACTTACGGGGGCAGCTGCTCATGGTGTACCACTCCATACACTGGCCAAAAGGGAAGGAGGCCACATAGGCATTGGAATCCACGCACTGCTTCATGTTGCTGCACCACATGCACTCAGAGCTGCCGCTGGTACACTCTCCACACGCCGTCCGCAGGGCACACGGCGTCCGGCACTGCTTCGCACTGTGGTTCGCTGGGAAGCAAACCCAGGACACTTAGAGCTCCCGCCACATTGGCCAACATCAAAGGCTTTTCGGGATGGCTTGTGACCCACTAGCGTGTCATGAAATCACACCAGTGGGCTACATTAAATGTAGGAGAAAACCAAAAACATGGAGTCGCCCTGTACTGGGCTAGTCAGGTATATTCACACACTGAGAGGAAAAAATTCTTTCTTTTCGAAGAGCGTTAAGGACAGACATGAGGGAACAAGCTAATCTTTCCATAAGCGTGGCAGTTCTAAAGCTCCTTGCAGTATACGGGACTCAGGATGACCTTCAGGGGTTTTACAATCCACCTGAACATGAAAACTTGTATCTGTATATTTGGGGGAAGAGGGACCACAGAATTCATTACATGCACCCAAGCATTCAGGACCCAAAAGGGCTGAAAAACTCCCCTACAGGAAGCTTAGAAACCATATTTTACGAGGAGAATTCTTTTCTACACCTCTGTACTCCTCAGATGACTTAAGAGTACCTTCCTAAAATGAGACACGATGTCAATGGCGTCCCAAAAAGTGCGCACAAAATTCCACCTACTGCACGTGAGTCCCTCTGCAGGGTAAGATGCTCATCTCAGCTTGTCTGTGCGCTGCAGATGCTGCCCCTGAGCCTGCCCATGGGAGGCCTGAACGTAGCCCACGGGGGAGCTGTGAACCCGAGAAGATCCCCAGTGTGTGCTCCTCAGTACTCTCCCACAGCGCTCACACAGTCCCGGGCAGCTTCTGCTTTCTGTCGTGTAACTGCTCTCCCCATTTCTCTCCCCACTGAAGCTTTCTGTCTACCGTCCCTGCAGTGACCTGCTTGCTTTTCTGATCTTTTCTTTACATTTTTTGTCCTTTCTTCCAGAGCGTTTCTCTGCCAACCTTAAGATATTTGCCTTTCAGAGCAATTCTCAGTACTTTTTATGGTCAGCAAACCAATCAATCTCACTGCTAGTTAGAAGGTTAGGTTCTTTGAGTAGTGTTAGTTATTTTTGTTTATGCTTCGGCTCATACTATTCAGAGCCGGAGACTATTTCCTTCCACTTGTAAGTGCTGGGTTACACTCCGCTTCATATGCTTGAAATCAATACTCCCCATCTGTTTTTCCTGACCATCTCACACCTCTCAATATTTCACTACGCCTCCTACGGTCTCTCTTTCAGTGAACTTCCAATGATACATCATTCACCCAGATACTTACCAGGCCTTTCACAGACACTGCCATTGAGTGGGTTGATGCAGGTTGCAGCCTTCAAGCCCCGAGTACTGGGTTCTGACAAGATTCCACAGAATCCAGCATCACTGGGCTCAGACGGCATCCACTGGAGCAAAGTATTTGTGAATGGGGACATATCTTCCCAGCACCAGTAAGACACATTGATCTTCCGAAGGCCAACCCATGGGGTTAAGGTGAGCTTGGACTATAGGCAAAAGAGACACAGCTTTGAATATAAGCGATGTCTTGAGCAAAAGAGCCTTCCAGATAAAAACCACTAAGTTACATATGCCCCGCAGGTGAAGGAAAACCTCCCCATCCCAATCCAGCCACGGCAGATTAGGACAGACCATCATGTCACCCCCTTCTACTACACTCATGAACTAGAACTCTGCCTGCCGGGCACACCACAGGGAAGCTGCATGGGTGCGCTCAGGACAAGGGTGGGTACTAGAAGCTGAAGTTCTGAGGACGTGAACTCACCATGCTCTGTGATGACTGCATTATTCGCAGCTGCTTAAGGACAAATTCTACCTTCTTCTGGGTTGTAAGAGAAGCCAAAAAGGCATTGTGGTTCCTACAGGACAATTTAGCATTGTCATAATTCTCCTTGGCAGTAGTAATTTTCAAACAGGAGTTTCCGACCAAATGCCAGCCAATGCCACAGATATTTTCTTTTGTAAAGGGGAGAGGGAAAAAAAAAAGTTTTAGAAATCACAAAAAACTACTACACTACCAGTTCGAATGATCAGAAACCTAAAAGGTTTCCGCGACTTGAATTCCACGGTACTTTACTAGATGTGGTGAGGGCATCTGACACATTACTAAGGACCGATGCAGAATACAAGAACGTTAGACTTCACCAGTCTTATTTCCTGGATCTCAAGAGGCATATTCTAAGGTCAACTCTCTATGTCTTAGAAGAAAAAAATCTTAGGTGCCAGTGCTAGATTTCTAAACCCCCTTTTGAAGAACAATTAGAAACAAGACTAAAATCCTAAGAACAGAAAAATGAGTACGCGGATTTGAAGGGTGGGGAAAAAAACTGGTGGATAGAAATGAGTCGAGTGAACAAGACGATGGTCTTCAAAAGCTTCACTGTTTCACATCAAGTGGAAGGTAAAATCAAGGGTACAAAACATCCTGAAAGTGAGGTGGAAATATCCTTTTCAGAAAAAAACAAACAACCCTAAGTGATACAGGTGCAGCACACAAGGTAAGACTATAATCTGCTCCTGTGATCGCCCTGAACCCACCCAGCTCAGCTCCATGCCCCAAACTGCACAGAAGCTCGGTGCACTTCCTGGGAGACAGGGAAGAAGCAAGGCAACTTTGCCAGAACCAAGTACCCTAGGGACACCACCAGCGATGCCCGGGACCGGTCAGTGAGGCAAGTGAAAGGTGCCACAGGAAAGGGATCATGTAAGAGCAAATAAAGCATCTGCTCTTCCAAGTGTGGCATCAGTGTCCCTACTCATTAAAATGTAGATTCTAGCTCCCTTCCCCCGATGTGCACCAGAATCTGACTTCTGACAAGACCCTCAGGTACTCCCCAGTACACTGAAGTCTGTTGCAATGAGGTAAAGAAAAGCAGCTCACACTCATGCAAGCTGAATCAAGTACTGCCAAAGGGCATTGAAAAGGGGCCTGGCAGACCCCGCCGCCCTGTGCATGGTTCAGGTGCTGTACAGAACCATCGATGTCCCCCTTCTTGGAAATCCCAGTTGAGCAAATACATCACAGAACTTCTGTTGTGGCTGGCTAGCCTGAGGCCCTCAACTCTTCGCCCTGAACCTCAAATGCCATAAATTGAGGTTTCAGGACTGGAGATGACCTCTGGGGGGTGCTGCTGGTGTCTCCTCCTTCTTGTCAGAAGGTGTTGACAGCCTAATCCCAGGGGTCAGTATGAAGTATTCTTCACAACGTGCCCCGCAGACTGGCTGCCAAGACTGCTGCTTTCTACAGCCAGGTGACCACAGCAGAGGCGAGCAGGGACAGGGGAGCAGGCTCGATGATATGGAGCCAAGCTGTCACTCTAGTCTCCAGAGCAGCAGATGATGCTTCACTTTATTTCAAAGGACAGGAGGAGCAAATGCTTAAGACCTGTATTTTCATTTTAAAAAATAACCAAAATAGTGGTATGGGGGAATGAATGGATAAAATGAGTTTGTTCCTTCTGCTGGGTTTAATCTAGGCTACACAGTATTGGGGTGGGGGTGTGTGTGAAGTCTCTGGACCCACACACATCCAGATGCCCCGACAAGGCCTACCGGGCAGGGCAATGCACTCCTGATTGCGGGGCTCCCACTGGCAGTTCTGGTCCAGGGCACAGCTCCTGCAGCTGGTCTTCTTGTTACAGTAGTACATGGGGTTATCCTTGGGACAATTCTCATATCTGGAAATGGAGATCTAGAACAGAGTGGACAAAAGCTTTTCTCTTAATCCACGGACAGAACTCACGGTGAGGACAAACAGGATTCTAAAATCGACAAAATCTAACTGAGGAAGCAAACTGCAAATAAAGAAGTAAGTAAGATGCAGAGAAAGCACCCCTGCAGGGGAAACAGTGTGCTGAAATCTTCTGCACAGGGCATGCCCTGACGTGGCAAGGAGGCAAGGCACTCTTTTAAACACCATGCTTTAACCTGCTCGTCTGTGAAATGGGGGTGTTCAACCTGCTGCTTTTCAAATGCCTCCCAGTCTAAAACTTTCATATTTTATGAACTGCTTTACAGAATAAGCTGTCAAAAACTACAGAGGCTGAGTCATTGTATCTTTTTTCGCCCTATAACCTAAATAAAAAAATCATATATGGTAAGCATAAATTATACTGAGCATAAATTATACTGAGCCACGATATAACATAAGACAAGGAGATTTTGCAAAGTCGCCTGACTCACCTTCAGTCTCAAGTCCTAACTTGCTCCCAAAAGCTTGCACAGGTAGAGTGAGGTCACTGTGACAAGCCGTACACCAAGCATCTAGGACCTAGCTACAGCCATGCCTAGGGATGGGGAGTACACAGAATAACAGTCCTACCTTCTTCTAAGATACTACACACCAATCCTTGTGGCTAGCTGGACCTTCGAAATTAAGATGTACATAGCATCCCTTCCTAAAAGAAAGCCTGAGCAATAATAAACTTTAAAACTATACCGGAGGTTTTAAAAATCCCTCTGGGCCAGTATTTGTATCATACACACCATAATCTCACATCTAACCCCCCGCCCCTGGGGTTTTTTCATCCTCTGAAACCCTTGAGAAGCGGCCCCTGACCTGGGCTTCCGTGCAGCTGTGGTTCACGGGGACACAATGGTCACTGCACCAGTGACAGTCATTGGTGTTGGCTGTGCAGCTGTAACAATCCGTGTGCTGGTCACATCTGTCGTGGTCAAGAGCTATGAAAAGAAGAAAAGCCCATCAACTGTGACAGCTTCTCCTTAGAATAAGTCACAGGCCATTTACAGCTGCTGTTGAGCACAATCTAAGACTAAGGTTTCTTTTTAAAAAAAGTAACAAGGGTTGGCAAGTAAAAGAAGAAGAAAAACTGGCAGGAAAATATATCGGTGTGTTCAGGTTAAAAGAGTACTTAGAAATAAGTAAACAATGTGAAGAAACACTATTTTGTAAACCTCCTTGCCCCCAACAAAAGTACAGAGAGAGGGAAAAACAAAGCTAGGTTACTTTAACTCAAGGACAATGAGATATGATGGAAGTAGGTCTGGTTCTTTGAATACTTTTCTTCCCAAGAAAAAAAGCAACCAACATCAAGAGCTGCCCAAGAGCCAAAGTAATGTAGAAGACCAAGCCATCCTCACCAGTTACAAATGCAAGGCTAATCTGGGCGCAGGAAGCAGGCAGCACCACAGAACCCCAAAGGAGACACTAGGCTGAGCTACAATCTACACATGTATGTAAGTCTAAGAGTGCAAGTTTCAGAATTTCTGGGCTACTACAGACCTGCTGCATCTCCTACTGACCCTAGACAGGTCAAGGTCAGCAACAAAAAAGAGGCTGCACAACCATATTGCTTATGGACATGGCACATGGGGGAAGCCACTGACAAGATAAGGCAGCCCCCCCACCCCGGCAAAGCATGCTCCTTAGGCTACTCTACCTGCCCTGGTCATCACCCCAAGGACTGGGTCCGCAGAGAAAGCACAGTGACCAGGAATGCGACATTTAAGATGAGTTCACAGCAAAGAGGTTTATAATGAACCACCTATAGTAATGAAATATTACTTCCTATACTCTTGCACATTTAATTTGAACTTTTAAAATTTGGTTAAAAAAAAAACAATTTCACAGATTTTATTCCTTTGAAGAGACACTGTCTAACCCTACCAGGTTCTGGTCCTCTCAATTTTCCAGCACTCACTGGAAAGTTGTCTGGGTGTCCTTTTGGGGATTTACGCTCATCTTAATTTGGAGCATTCCAGTAGAGTGAAAGCTGACTCTATCCACCATAACCCTCAATGTAACTTGCTACACCAACTCCAACGGTTAAGAAATTCAGTCAACATTCTTTAAAATAACTGAAGTGAACAAATATTTCGCAGAGACTTTTTCTTTTCGAAGGATTTCTAATCTATTACATCACTGTATTACACTGTGCTGTATCTCAGAGCAAAAACATAAGAAGCTAAGTAGGCAAGATGAAGAAAGCTTGGAAAACATAAGGAGTGGTTCTAGAAGCCAGGACCACTGGTCAACCTCAGCAACTCTCTGTCTTGTTATCACTGCTGTGCCCAACTAGAGAAGCTAGAAAGGAATACTTTGCAAAGAGAGCAACACTACCTCCATCCTCTACTCCAACATAGCTTTTCTGGGCTGGCTCTCTTAATCTCATCCTTAACATTAGAACTGCATAATCCAATAAGGCAGGCACAACTAGCCTCATGTAGTTCTTAATTTTAGTTTAAAATTCAGTTCTTTGGTCACACCAGTCTCATTTCAAGTGTCTGTGGCTAGTAGCTCCCATATTGGGACAATGCATAATAGTACATTTCCATCATCACAAAAAGGTCCTGTTGTATTGCATTGCCTGGGACCAACTGCCAGGCTCAGGAGTTGGTATACAAAATCTGTGCAATGCCAAGGGGGTTTTGTCTCCATCACTCATAGACAGCTTCTAGGAGCCACATGGCGTTGCCAACCACTGTAAAGAGGTCTACAAAACTATTTTCAAACACCATAAGGCCTTTGCACCAGTTATTACCAAACAATTTGGGATAATAAAATGAACATAAAAAATGCACATATGCTAAATACCTTCATAATTCAGACAAAATGAGATTTCAAATTAAATTTTAAGAAAAGGAAAAAAACATACTTCTTTTGGAAAAACATTCTGATTTTAACTTTTCTTCTTGTGCTTCAGTTGCCAACTCCCAGGAGATACACTGAGATGACCCTGTATCCCACACACACCGGATGCCAGGTCCTGCTGCCAGGCAAGCAGCTTCGCTCCGGTGTGCTCCACACCGTTCTGAGGTGAATACGAGGATGTCACTGAGAAGGAGACTATTGAAACCACCAAATACATACATGGTGCTAAAAGGGGAAAAAAAAGGAGAGGAGTAGTTTACTGAAAGTTTCTATATACAAATGCACGATAGACTTTTTACAATCTTCAGACAAAATGTCCCCAAATGTCCATCAATTCAGGATGTGATGTGAGTAAACTATGGTACATCCACACAATGAAATAGCAGTCGGGAGATGTAAAAAGGAATGAGGACGATTTCTACATACTGCTACGGGGTGATCTTCAGGATATACTGCTGTGTGAAAAAAAAGGAAATGCAGAGAAAAGTATATATTGTATACAACCATTTATCTAGTGAGGGAAGAAGGAAAAGACACACACACACACACATTCTTTTTTCATTTTAAAAACAAGAACAATGGGGCGCCTGGGTGGTGCAGTCAGTTAAGCATCCAACTCTTGGTTTCAGCCCAGGTCATGATCTCAGGGTTGTTAGATCAAGCCCCGCGTCGGGCTCTGCATTCAGCATGGAGTCTGCTTGGGACTCTCTCTCCCTCTCCCTCTCCCTCTGCCCCTCCTCCCCCCTCAAATAAATAATCTTAAAAAATTAAAAAAAAATAAAAACAAGAAAACAAAACAAAGCTTCTCTTTATCTTCTTTTCAAAAATATTTATTTATTTATTTATTTATTTATTTATTTATTTATTTGCAAGACAGAGAGAGAGAGAAAGTGAGAGAATGAGTAGGGGGGAGGGGCAGAGGGAGAGGGAGAAGCAGGCTCCCCCCGCCGAGCAAGGAGTCGGACACCGGGCTCAAGCCCAGGACCCTGGGATCATGACCTGAGCCAAAGGCAGATGTTTAACCGACTGAGCCAACCAGGTGCCCCTCTTTAACTTATATTCTTAAAAGGGCTAAACACAATGACCAACCTAGTAGCAATGGATATGACTTAGATTGTGATATCTAAAAACCATTCTTTCCCTTACCCCTCAAAAGAAAGACTAAGACTCTTTAGAGGCAATCCCTAGGAAGTCAGGTTTAAAAATAAAAACAAGAAAAAACAACTAGGCAGAAAAAATCAGCAGTGGTACACTGGGAAGACAGACTCTAGAATTAGTCTATGCAAGACACTAAACAAACAGTAATAACAACCCCTGTGGTGATGGTGGGGGAGTCAGAATCCATATCTGGTTATTACCTAAAAGGCTTGGTTTTCAAGAAAATGTTACAATATATACAGGGGAGCCTGTGTGGCTCAGTCGGTTAAGCATCTGCCTTCAGCTCAGGTCATGATCCCAGAGTTCTGGGATTGAGCCTTGCATTGAGCTCCCTGCTCAGCAGGGAGTCTGCTTCTCCCTCCACTCCACCTGCTTGCTCATGCTCTCTCTCTCCCTCCCTCTCTCTCTCTCTCTCTCTCTCTCTCTCAAATAAATAAATAAATAAATAAAATCTTAAAAAAAAAAAAGTGTGACCAAACAGAGGAAGTAAACAGTCTTTGAGGGGGCCCACATGTTGGACTCAAAAGACAAAGGCTTCAAATCAGCTATTACAAATATAGTCCAAGAAAACTATGTCTGAAGAATTAAGTCAAAATAGGATATCAATGACTCAAAAGGAGACATAAATGATAAGGAATAATTAAAAGGAAATTCTGGAGTTGAAAAGTATAATAAGTGAAATGAAAAATTCACTAGAGGAACTCAGGAGACTTGAGCTGGCAGAGGAAAGAAACAGTGAACTTAAAGACACATCAATAGTGATTGTATAATCTGAAGAAAAGAAATGAAAAAATATCAAAGAAAATGAAAAGAGCTTCAGAGACTTGCAGGACACTGTCAAGTATCCAACATAAGCATAATGGGAGTCCCAGAAGGAAAGAAGTGAGAGAGAGCTGAAAACACACTTAAAGAAGTAATAGTTGAAAACTCCCCAAATTCGATGAAAAAAATTAATCTATACATCCATCCAACAGAGCTCAACAAACTCCAAGTTGAACAATCACAAAAAGATCCACGTTCACACACATTATTATCAAAAACTGCTGAAGCCCAAAACAAAGAGAAATTCTTGAAAGCGACAAAAGTAGGATAACTTTTCACATACAAGAGAATCACATTAATATTAATGGCTAAGACACAATGAAGGCCAGAAGGCAGAGGAATAAGATACTGAAAGTGATGGAAAGAAAAAAAAAATGTCAAATAAGAATTCTCTATCCAACAAAACTATCCTTCAAAAATGAAACTGAAATAAAGACCTCCCCAGATAAACAAAGACTAAGAAAATTCTTTGCTGTCAGGTCTACCTTATGAAAAATAGTAAAGTAACAATAATAGTTGAAGACTTTAATATCTCATTCTTAATAAAAGAACAACTAGGCATAAAATCAACAAGGATACACAAAACTTGAACAACATTATCAACCAATTTGACCTACTGGCATCTGTGGAACACTCCACCTAAATAGAGCAGCACACATATTCTTTTCAAGGGCACATGGAACATTCTCCCGGGGAGACCATATGTGCTAGGCCATAAAAACAACAACAACAACAACAACTCAGTAAGTGGTTTTTGTTTTTGTTTTTTTTAGGAAAGGAAATCTTCAAAGTATGTTCTCTGATCACCAAAATGGAACTAAATCATAAATCAACAGGTAGAAAATCTGTGAACTCCACAAATATTTGAAAAATAAACAACATATTCTGAATAACCTATGGGTCAAAGAAGAAATCACAAGGAAAATTAGAAAATATTTTTAACTAAATGAAAACAAAAATATGCCATTTCAAAATTTATGGGTTGGTATTAAAGTAGTACTTAGAGACAAACTTACAGTTTTAAACACATATATTAGAAAAAAAAAGAATTTAAAATCAATAATCTAAGTTTCCACCTTTAGAAAAGCAAACTAAACCCAAAGCAATCAGAAGGGAGAAAATAATATCAAGAAGAAACAATAAAATATATACAGAAAGATAATAGAGAAAAATGAAATCAGAAATTTGTTCTTTGACAAGATCAATAAAATTGACAACCCTTTAGCTAGGCCGACCAAGAACAAAGACAAAAGATAAATTAACAAAATGAGGAATGAAAAAGCCTAAGTATTAAATTAAAAAGTATATAAAGAAATAGGAACTTTTATACCAACAAATTAGACAACTTAAATCAAACAAATTCCTAGCAAGACTGATTATCAAAATTATCTAGTTCCACAGAAAACTTAAAAACAGAACTACAATATGATCTAGAAATTCCACTTCTGGGTATATAACCAAAAGAAACGAAAGCTAAGACTCAAATAGATATTTGTACATCCATGTTTATAGCAAACCAAGTACCTACTGACAGAAGAACAGATAAACAAAATGTGGTATACATATATGAGAATATTATTCAGCCTTTGTTAGAAAGGAAAGAAATTCTGACACCTGCTACAACATGGATGAATGAACCTTGAGGATATTATGCAAAGTGAAATAAACCAGCCACAAGAGGACAAATACTGTCTGATTCCAGCTAAAGGTTCCTGAAATAGTCAACTTCATAGAGACAGGAAGTAGTGTACTGGTTGCTGAAGGATGGGGGCAGGGCAGAATGGGAACGTATTGTTTAATGGGTAGAAAGTTTCAGTTTTGTGTGATGAGAAAAGTTCAGGAGATGAATGGCAGTGATGACTGCACACAATGTGTGCTATTAAACCACACACGTCAAAACGATTAAGACAGTAAATCTTATGTTATGAAAATTTTATCACAATTAAAAAAAATCTAAAAAAATCTGAACAGATAAACCTATCACAAGTAAAGACTGAATTCACAATTTTTAAAATCTTTCCACAAAGAAAAGTCTAGGCCCAGATGAATTCTACCAAACATCAAACATGTCAAGTGTAATACCAATCCTTTACAAGTCTTTCCAGTAACTAGAGGGGGAAAGAATACTTCCTCATTTATTCTGTCCAATATTAATCAGACAAATATATCATAAAAACACCCCACAAAACTATGGAGCAATATCCCTCATGAATATAGACAGGACATTTTTGAACGAGGACATTTTGTGGGTAATGGATATGTTATCTCAATCGTGGTGATCATTTCACAAGTGTATACTTACGTCAAGTTATCAAAGTATATGCTGTAAGTATATTCAATCTGTTGTGTATATGAACTCTACTTCAATAAAGCTGTTAACAGGCCATATATGCAGAATCACACATATTCAAAACAAAAGCAATTGTGTAGTAGCTCCAGGGAACGTTCCTAAAATGCTACTGTGGGAGGCCAATGCCAGCAAATGATGCAGTTGGGTCTCACAGAGTACACTGGGCCATATCCACCACCTACATGGTATGTCTATGCCTCTTGTGTGACATTTGCTGGGACATCCTCAATTGGAACCTGAAGAAAGAGTCAGGCTGCAGGCTATACAGACCAGAGATACAACGCTATCCTTAAACATAATAACCTCTGGCAAAAATCTGAAGAACAGAAACAAGACCATTTGGCAGAAGAGACAGAGAAGTGGACTCCAGATAATAGAAAGGAGAACCTGCTAATGACTGGTGTCTACAGAAAAGGAGGGAGCTTCCTTCCTCGGTGGGTTCTCCATCCCTGGACATGTTTAAAGGGGATGACTGCAGTAAGTGGAAGTTTTGAGCAGGTGACTTCAGATCTCTTCCAACTCGGGGAGCCTACGATCTGCCGGCAAGTTTAGCACTAACCCACAGTGAGGTGTCAAGAAATTCACCCTCACTTGCCTCAATTTCCTTCAAACTAACACAAGACTAACTTACTAAACGCATGAAGATTTTTGTGGCTAAGTGTCTGTTATATACTGTATCTAAAAATGGACACATTTCAGTGACCAAAAATGAACCCCATGTTTAATTTCTAATCTCACTATTGGTTTAGTATCACGTTTTTTTAGCAGTCTGGATTCAACTCGTCAATCTGCTGCTTAAACCAAATAAGCTCCCCCCCGCCCCAGTACAGCTGATGTTTTCAGCAATTCTGAACCCAACTGGTCACACGTGGGCTATGTGAGGTACGCAGAGCCCTTCAAAAAGCCTGGAGCAGGCAGGTGAAAGGAACAGCTGCTTCTTCGCAGCCCCAGTGCCTCACGGCCAGCTCCTCACCCCACCTCCCTCACAAAAACCACGAGGACAGCAACTAAGTGAGGTAAGGCTGACCCAAAGCTGCTGACGGGCTAAGAAAACCACCACTTGGAATACGAAGAAATGATATCAAAGTTTCTCTCCCAGTAAATTCTTTCACAAAATGAAACTAGCCATGGCCTCTCTTGTCATCGGCTGCCCCCTCGAACCCCGCCCCGTACACACGGATGATTCACAGATAGGCCCAAATACACCACTGGAATTACACAGAAATGAAAACATTATTTTAAGTCAGGCAAGCCATTCCTAATTTTGATTCATGGTTCAATTCTGTTGTAGGGCAAACTGTCATCTTCTCTGAGTTTATACAAAAACTTAGAATGTTTTAATAGAAGATCCATTTATTTGCTTGTTACCATGACCATACTAAGAGCTGCTACAATTTAGAGAAGGTCTATTATGTGCTAAATACTGTGCTACGAGAACCACGGGGACAAAGATGAATAAAGCAGAGGCCAGGCGCCCAAGGTAATGACAAAACAGCCCCACTGCTTTTCAGATGAAAGCATCAAGAGGGACTCACTAGAAATCTTCAGGGTTTTCCTCACTGAGGAAGTATCAGCCTACAATTTAAGATGACACTTCAAATTAGTAAGGGTGTCAGTCTATACTATCCCACGTTCTCACAGGAAAACCACGTTTATCACTAAATTGCAGCTGAGCGATTATTTTAAAAAGTTGTCACCTTTTCCTAATATCTAAGTATCTGAATTGTGTCAATTCTTCCTTCATGACATCGGCAAGACATGCTGCTGGCTCATCTTTTCTAATCCCAGGTCTTCATCTCATCTTGCATCATAACAACAGAAATTTTGAAAGCCAAGGAATCCTAACATAATGTAGGCGTTGTAGCACTTAAGTAGTTTCAGGATCGATAAGGCTCAGAATTTTAGAAGGAGAAACAGCCAATACTCATAACAGCTGAAACAAAATGGGAAAAATTAAGAACGTGATTAGGCTGTTTAACGAATCACAAATCTTTATTTATTTTTAAGATTTTATTTTTAAGTAACCTCTACACCCAACGTGGGGCTCAAGATCACAACCCTGGGGGCAAGAATTGCATGCTCCACTGACTGAGCCAGCCAGGTTCCCCAACCAATCACAAATCTTTAAAGCATACTGTGAGGAATGGGCAGAGTGCCCATTCTGGATCCCCCTTCTCCAGGGGCAGATTTATTTAGCTCGGGCCAGGCATTTTTGAGTGATGCGATGAAATGCAGTATAGACTTCAGAATATCCAAAGACTGCAGATTTATCTGTATGAAGCTTCACAATCTCCCCACCTCTGTTCCTCTATCCTATCTCCCATCCGAAGTGTCCTCTCTCCTCTTTTTTAATCCCTCCTTACCATTCAGATGCAGTGATAAGAAACCTGACAACCCAAGTACCGCAAACAACAGTGAACAGCGGGGGACATAAGACAGTAACTACATAGAACTCCTGTTGTCCCATGCATTCAGACAGCACCAAACATAGCATACTCCCACATGCTAACAAACTTGGCATCAGAAGTAATTCAAATCCACATCAGACATTTTTTTAAAAATTTTTTAAAAAGATTTTGTTTCTTTGACAGAGAGAGAGAGAGAGCGAGAGAAGGAACACAAGAAGGGGGAGTGGGAGAGGGAGAAGCAGGCTTCTCACCAAGCAGGGAGCCCGATGTGGGACTCGATCCCAGGACCCTAGGATCATGACCTGAGCCGAGGGCAGATGCTTAATGACTGAGCCCCCCAGGTGCCCCACATCAGACATTTTAAATAGAAATCAGGAAATTCAGACCTAAATAATTCTGTGACAAACTAATGGGCTGAAGGGATCCCGCAAATAATATATTAAGTCCAATTCCACTTCTTCATGTTCAACTTCGCTTACATTTTAAACACAAGAGAAAAGGGACAAGCGCTTCTTCAGCTAAGTACCTGTTGTGTAAGACTGCTGAATGGCCAAATCTGTTGACATCATGGTGGAGATCAGGTCTGGGAAGCACTGACCAGCGGTCACAAGCTAGGAGCAAGAAAAATACATTTCAGAAGGAACCGCTCTTCATAATCAGCGGGAAATGGCATCTTCTTTGGGGAGAAGACTATGACAAGCACAACCTCATAAAATGTATCTCTTGGTTTTTCTTAATCACGCCATTATTTCTGAGGTAAAATATGGCAAAAGCAGAACAGCAGGGCATGGAAGAAGGATAGGACGATACAGCAATTCTAATTCATGAATGCATCCAACATCCATGACACTCACATCACTCATTCTGTTGCCCATCAATTTTACCCACTAGCACGCTTCTTAACTTAGGTAAATTTTATATTTTTCAAAACTTATGTAAGTAAAATATGTGCATTCCGTAATTATTTTCTACTCCACGTTGATTTGCCCAAACTCAGCAGTTAAAACAAGAAAATACAGGTGAAAGATGAAAACTAAAAATAAAAAATAAAAAAAATTCCAACTTCAAGTCCTTTCCTAGAACCCCTAGGATCTACTGATTTTCCTTTGTTCTGACCCATGCTAGCAATTCTCTTCTGGACCTTAATCTAATTGGCACAGTAGAACCCTGCCAACCTCACTCATACTCGCTCTCTGAAACATTCAGACATTCACGCTCACTAAGCAAACACTCTTCTACTCGATCCAGACCTTTATTCAACCTTAACAACAACAGCTTTCACTTCCTCCTCCCCAGCCTAGATTCCGTGGTCTTCTTCACACGGAGAAGAGGCCATCAACTCTCATAGCTTCCTGCCCACCCACCTTGCTTCTCTCCCTAAAACCACAAGGTGGCAGTAACTCCTTCCTCTTGTCCCACCTGGCTTTTTAAATGTGCTCAAGGAGGCACTCAACTATGCCTTCTCTTCCCTTCACAGAGAAGAGGGTTTTTTTTTTCTTTTTCTTTCTTTTTTTTTTTTTTTTTACTAAAACAGTCAACCTTCATGGTGTACATCTCACCTTATATGACTGTAATCTGGATTACTCCTTCCTGTCTAGAGGCTAACAAACAACATCATTGTTGCTAAATCCAAAAGGCTCTCCAGGCTTTGTTTTCCTTAAGTCCCCTGCAGCCACTGGTAACTGCTCTCTCACAGGTCACCGATCTTGCCTCACGTTCCTCCTGCTTCTCCAACATGCCTGCACAGTCTCCACTCTCCTGCAGACATTTTATCCATCCATGCTCTGGCTCTCTGCTCATCCCTGCTGATACATGCTCCGTAGAGGCTCGCCCCTGCTTTGGGCTTCCCACTGACCTCTGTATGGCTCGGTCCCATGGTCATCTCCAGCTGAACATGCCCCCGAACCCATTTTACTCCCTTCCGCCCAGCCTAGTCCCTCTCCTTCTACCTTCCAGCCTTGGTAAAAAGCACCGTCTACCACGGTTTTGACAAAACACCACCAGGTACCTGGCAATAAGGATGTGTTCACCTCTCTCAAAACACACCCCAACAATTCCCAAGTTCCCAGCAGTTCTCAAACCCATCTCTCTCTTTAACCTCACTGCCACTTCCACAGCCTTGGTTCCAACCCTCCTCGGGATTTTGCAACAGCCTCCGAACTCCTATCTTGCCCCTTCCCGACTACTCACCACAATGCCACAAAGAGATCTTCTTAAGACACAAATACGATTCCATCAGCTCTTCTGTAAGATTCTTCAAAAAGCCCAAATTCCTTAGCATGATGTAACAGGTCTCTCAAGATCTGACTAGTCTGCTAGCTCTCTGCTTCTCTAGTTCTGCCGGAAGCCATTCCTCCCCAGTGCGCAGCTGATAACAGCCAAAACTACTCAGAGGCCCCAAGTATGTGGTAGGGTCTCTTTTTGCCTCTGTGTCTCCGTGTACATGGGCTTCCTTCATGTGAGAAGTGCTGCCTAACTTCACCTCGCTGACTTCCTCGGGACTCAGACCCTACTCAAGAAGGCTTCCCCTGATCCTAACCCTTTTTCTCTTGAGGTAAGGCAGGCCCATAGATGCTCTCATATATTCCTCTCAGAACAAGTAACACCCTGAATTGCAATTATATTGTCTGCTCAGCTTTCTGCCTCCCCCACTGTGAGGCCAAGCACTGTAATTTACTCATCTTACAATCCCTGAGCTCAGTGGCTGGCACACGTATGTCTGCTAAAAAAGAACGTCTGATGATAATTACACAAGAGAATTTCTAGGACTTGTTTTGCATGAACAAATACTGCCCTCTTCTGGTCAAGTATATTACCACTCCAAGAAATGTTTAAATTCCATGTCAAAGTAGACTTCAAAAATGTGTAAAACCAATTTTTTAGGGAATGTGATAAAGCTATTAGTTAAACCAACTTAACACAATGCTGGTGGTCACAACTACATAAGACTATTTTTTTTAAAGATTTTATTTATTTGACAGAGAGAGAGAGCGCACAAGCAGGCAGAGCGCAGCAGAGAGAGGGAGAAGCAGGCTCCCCACTGAGCAGGGAGCCCGACGTGGGGTTCCATCCCAGAATCCCGGGGTCATGACCTGAGCCGAAGGCAGACGCTTAACTAAGCCACCCAGGCGTCCACTACATAAGACTATTACATAAGGCATTTGTTTGTAACACAGAAGAAGTTGGTCACCCCAACTCACCCTCAAAAATTAACATTCAACCAATTAATGGGAGTGATTTCACTTAATAGAACTCAATATAGAAAAATGTATTAAAAACTAAATAAGAAATATAAACAAGAACTTAATATAGAATGCTTTTTTTCTTTAAACATATAGTATTTGTCACATGAATATAAAAAATACCATTTGGACCTCTTTCAAATGGCCTGACACTTCCAACTAGCGATATTTTCAGTTTCTTTTAAAATGCTGCTTACAGTTGGTTAAGCATCCGACTCGATTTTGGCAAGGATCATGATCACAGGGTCATGAGATAGAGTCCTACATTGCGCTCTGTGCTGGGTGTGGAGCCTGCTTAAGATACTCTCTCTTCCCCCTCCCTCTGCCCCTCCATTCTCCGCTCCTGCTCTCTCTCAAAAAAAGAAAATGTTGCTCATAGACAAAAAAGATTCTTGAAACTAAAATGGCTTTAGGAAACTTACCAATGTCATAAGCCATAAAATCCGAAGAGAAGCATTTGGCACCATGGCTCATGGATGTGTCGTTGTGTGTGTTTCCTCCAAACACCAGCATGGTTCCACTCACTATCACAGCTGTGTGTAAGTAACGGAAAAATCGGCTGTCCTTAAGAATGGTCCTTTTGAGTTTATTTAAAGATAATAAATACAAGGTTAGTTTTTTAGAATATTTATCATCTATCTGCTAATGCAAACACAACCATTTTCTTAACTTCAGAACCAAATGTGCAAATACTTCTAGATTTTTCCCTATATATAACTTTCTCAACAATAAATAAATACATAAAATCCTAAAGGCCTATGAGAATTTTGACAAAACAGACTAAGAGTCTTAAAACTTCCTACCTCACAAGACCCTATACTTCGTTTCTGGGTAGAAATCACATCAAATACAGACAAAAGCTTATATACAATGCCTTAATAATAAGACAACAACTAGAAACCAGAACTTCTAACTGCCCCGTCTCAGTACACCCACATGACAAAGTATTTACACAGCCACTAAAAATGACAGACAGAATGTAAAAGGGTATCCAGAGCATGGTCTCAAATATGTAAGAAAATACAAAAAGAAAGAAGAGAAATCATTGCCTTATATAATGACATTATTTCATAACTCAAATTTGTTTTACATTTATTAAAATTAGCACACTTTATATATAGTTCAGTTTATAGCAGAGGGAGGACGGTTCTAATTCAGGTCCTGAGACCACCTCTGTTTGATGATTTCATGCAGTGACGCCAGTAACTAACCCCAATGATGACACTTTAGTCATCAAGAAAAGGTTGAAAAATGGGTATGTTTTACTTAATTACAGCAATGTGCATACATTACAGCTTTGTAGAACAATTTAGTCCTCAGGGTTTTGAAGAGCTAAAATTTTATAGAGGTACTGAGTTTATGAAAATTGAAAAAACAGTCAAAAAATACCAAGCATTTTCTAATCAATCTACTACAAAATAAATAATAGCTATATTATTACCTTCTGCTTCTTTCCCAACTTCTCTATCTACAATGCTGAAGAGAATTATGTGTTAGGCCTGAAAACAAAAATATAGCCCAATATTTTCCCGACAATTGCTAGAATTCACACCGGAGAGTAAAAGCTCAAGAAAAAGCACCCACCACATCTGGGTGTCCACATCGTATCTGTAGAGATCATCTGCGAGCCGGTATTTATTGGCGCTGAAAGCCTTGTAGCCCCCATGAACATACAGGGCCTTGGTCCTGTGGTCATAGACACTGCTATGACCATAGCCCCCTTGGACAAGGGCACCATTGGTTTGTAATATACTCCATGTGTTCTTAGCTGGAAGAGGAAAACAGTTAAAGGCAAACATTGCAGGATCCTCCTCTCTAATACTTAAAATGACCAATTGGTTTAAAATAAGAGATTTCAGGAGGCTTGATACGTATAAATTTCTTTTATCTTTTTATTTTTAAAGGAAGGCCATCTAAAACTTGTAACAAAGCCAGGTGGCCAAACATCAATCTGTTAAATGTTCTGACGTTCTACTATACCATGTAGGAAAATAATTACATTAAATGTAAAAGACTCAGATTTCCCTCAATGGAACACTTAATACCCTGAGACTTTCAGTGACCAATACACAGATGTACTTTAGGGACCTACTTTCTCAAACTATCAATTAGAGGTGGTGCTCCCACACCATCACAACAGATATAATAAAATTTAACCAATGGAAAGATTACACATTAAGGGGAAATCACAGTCCATTAAACCAGTATCTAAAGGGTCGTCTAAATTTTTTTCTTCAGTATATCTGTTGTTCCAAATCATTTTTCTTTCTTTCTTTTTTTTTTTAAAGATTTTATTTATTTATTTGACAGAGAGACACAGCGAGAGAGGGAACACAAGCAGGGGGAGTGGGAGAGGGAGAAGCAGGCTTCCTGCGGACAGGGAGCCCGATGCGGGGCTCGGTCCCAGGACCCTGGGATCATGACCTGAGCCGAAGGCAGATGCTTTAACGACTGAGCCACCCAGGAACCCCTATTTATTTATTTTCAACACCAAAAGCATTTAGTGTCGTCCTTAACTCCTCACCAAATTGATGGTAACAAATATATACTACATAGCAGCAGCAATAATCTGAATTTCACTGGTAACACATCAACATTAACCACATTTCAAGATAAAGTACTGGGGTCAAAGTTAGGTGGAATCTTGTTAAACAGGCATAATAATAAGGGTAAAGGTTTTAAATTTGACGTTCAAAAAGGATCCACTAGAAAAAATACACCTACCCAAGTCATATTCCTGTACATTGCTTATATATCCATAGAGAGGGCAATGACCAAAGATGACCAGCATGACCACTCGGCCAGTTTTCAATGTGACAATGTGCGCCGAGTGCCCGACCACTGCATACTGCTCCTTGGCTTTAGGGGTCAACAATACCCATGACTCATTATGAATATGGAACACTCTCAACTCATTGGTCACATTCCCTGTTGAATCAATTTTTCCTCCATACATGTAAATTTTATCCTAGGGAAAAAAATGCAAACAAAATTCTAAAAAAATCAAAAGCATCAAACTTGAGAAACAAAAGTTCAAAACCTTGTTGTTATTCTTAGCTTAAGAAGTGCTAGTGAAATACACCTTTTAGTGAATTATTAGGAAAAGAATGAAAGGAACAACATAAAATAAAACATCATATTCTGTATCTCCAATACTTCGCCACTGTTCTTGGACTTCCTCATATGAGATCTCTTACGGTATAAAATGGCTTGTAAAAATAAAGTTGAAGAGTTCCCTCATCCTCCCCTAAACCACAAAAACAAGGAAATGAAAGTGATTATTCAGTTATATTGCAATGTGGCTATTCTTGTCTAAACTTGCTAACTAACATAAAAGCTAATTTACACAGTATTAATTTTTAACCATTTAGTACTACAATCATAACGTCCCAGTACAATCTGAATCCATTAAAATCTCTCAGGTCAAACTGGTTTCAACTTTAATTTCCACTTACAACTTAGCCAACTGTATTACCCCCCCAAAAACAGAAAGTTTCTCCCTAACTAAAAATCAAAACTGAAGTCAAAATTAGAGAGACAGAGAGTAGAATGGTGGTTGTCAGTGGCAGAGGGGAGGAGGGATATGGGGAGTTATTGTTTCATAGGCATAGAGTTATAGTTTTACAAAATGAAAAGAGTTACTGAGATGAATGGTAGTGGTAGTTGCACATTAGGAATGTATATAATACCACTGAACTGTACACTTAAAAATGGTTAAGACAGTAAATTTTACGTTATGTGTATTTTACCACAATAAAAAAGATTAGAGACAAAACCCCAACGCTACGTACCTTTTCAACTACATAATATAATAAGGCATGTGTGGAAGACTGGAGTTTCTAGCTTGGTACAGAAGGGAGACACTTTACCTTGTATAATGCTAAAGAATGGCCGTATCTGACAACCACACTGTTCACGGAACGGTTTAGGGTAAGCCACTCCCTAGAAGCAAGGTCATACCTACAAAACAAACAGATCATATTTTCACCCAAACAACAAAGCAGAGTATCTTATACTCTTCTATTTGATATCATGCAGTTTGGAGATGCTCAGTGGACAAGCAATGCAATGAGGCAGCTCTGAAAACAAACAAACCTAACAGCTGGGTCCATGGGGCATATCAGAACTTGGGAAGGGGGGCTGGGCTGCACAACCCTGGAATGAGGAAAAAAAAATCTACTGGAAGTTTCTACGCTTCCTGAAAACCTCTTCTACATACAGTCTAAATCACTTGCAAGTTGTGTTATACCAAAGGGACATTTACTGTCATAACTTTTCTTTCATTTAGTCATTTGAAATTGAAGACAGGTACTGAAAAAGGAATGATGATTAAGTAAAAGAAAACTCCTAACTTTTCCTTTTCTTTATCTAATTGATTTTTTTAAAGTCATATGTTCAAGAAAGCTAGAATATCATTTGGCATTTCAATTATACTATGAATTCACTTAGACTTTTAAAATACGAACATTTAGTAAACATCATTCCAGACATTTTTCGATGCATATATACAAACAGAAAAATACACTGACAATATATATTTATACAAAGGGGATCATGCTATAGATACTTTTAATAGTGTTAATTTGTATATAATTTAATAGAAAAAAGAAATCAAAGGGAAATCAGTGCTGTTGCTCTACTTTAAATATATGTTATTTTCTATAAGTTTTCCTGAATAATCCAAGTTTTTGATGATGAAAAACATTATTATGTAATGTTTTAAGAAGATATAAGAAAGTCTTATCGACATAAAAAGCAAAAAAGGATACAAATAAATGTCCATCAATAGAAAATGGATTAATAAATTATAGTATATCTATATAATAGAATTATAGGGTGAAAAATACACTCAATACATTCAACATAAATCTCAAAACAATGTTAAGCTAAAAAATCAAACTGCAGAATACTGTTTCTGTAATGACTGAAAACAGAAAATTTATTAATCCTAATATATGTTCATATATATTAAAAGTGTAAAGATATGTATGTGAACAAATGACACCACAAAATCAGGATATTGGTTATCTTTGAAACTGGGGAGGAGGCATGCAGGGGTTTCTAATTATATTAGCAATGTCTTATTTCCTAACCTAGGTGGTGAATGCATTAGTATTCATTATTCTTCTCTAAATCTTTCCTTTTGTCTTAAATATTTTACACATGATCTAAAACAAAATGGGGACATTTACTGAATATGAATACTACATTAATACCAGCTATTATTTTATGTATTATTTGAATATTCCACATTTTTAAAAACACATGAAAAATTATTTAGAAATTGGATTCACTTTAGTTTTTAAGTTACATACAAAATTAAGTTAATTTTAGACAGAATCCACTAACTTCCTTCCTTGAAAGTTGAAAACCTTAGCACCCACATTTCCTCCCATTTCTTCTCCCAATTTTTGTTATGTAATTTTTACACTGTCCAGGTCTGCAGTACATTCCACTCTAGAACTGTGATTCCACAGTTCTTTAGTAGTGGACCTCTTTTTTAGCTGAAGCAATCTCCTCACTATCCTCTCACCACAACTTCTCCTTGAGTCTTTAATTCTTAATTGGCTGGATTTTGCTGCCAAGTGGTTATTTTCCTGTGGAGCTCATAAATGGCTCCTTTTCCTAAATTCTCTGGTGTTTAAGAATATCTGCTTGCTAGCTTTACAGCTGAATGACATTTTGGCTGGGTATGTCTTGGGCCATCCTTTCTTGCCTTCAGAACTTTGCAGATGCTGCTCCCCTGAATAATACGGATAGTGAATGCTACGCTGGAGAAGCCCAAAGCCAGTCTGATTTTTCCTGTTTTTATGTGGTTTGCTTTTCTGTTTGGAAGCCTGAAGAACTCTGTCACTCTCATTTTCTCTCCTCCTCCCTTTCTCTCCCTCCTTTCTTCTTTCACTATTTTTTAAAGTCACAATATTATATTTTACTTAGGTAGAAATAACTAAAATCCAAACAGGGTAATGTCTTTACAAAATGGACTACGTACCACTGCAATACTTTTACGGAGCTCTGGCTGCAGAAGGTCTTTCCTGAGGACTAGCATGGCTTCTGAAAACACATAATACACCTCATGTTCAAGCCAGAGGCCTGTCTAAGCTTGAAAGAGAGGAAAGAGGGAGCCCAAATCTCTAGATGATTTAATTCCCTTCTCTTTCAAGTGACATGGAGGGTGCTCAGTCTGTACCTTAATGCATTTTGCTCCTCCTAGTCAATGACAGGTTAGCTCTAGCTCAAGGGCTTGTCAGAGACACTAAGGCACTGGCAGGTCCCAGTAAGCTGGTGCAGATGAACTGCCAAAAGATCTTACATAACAAGTTGTGACTCTTTTCATGACCCAGAGAAGCAAATACAAGTTAAGAAAAATATTGATGCAATAAAGCATAAGAAATTCCAAGTACTAAATAAATTCTTCCGGGAGCTCAGTCCAAGATAAGAGAATACTGAACAACTAGTTCTAAGACCTGGACAAGCAGATAAGCAAAGACAAACTCCAGGAATTCAGAAACACGTGTCTTCCAGTGCTGCACCATCTCTCTCACAAACTTCTCCTTGCTAGCTGGTCTGATGATGACCATCATGGCACAGGGCCACCATCCACAGTGGTCTGGTATTCCAATCACAGTGTCTGAGCATCCAAAGACCATGGCGAAGGCTCTGTGCAGACTGAACATGACCCCAGCCAGAGGAGGCACAGAACTCCCTGAGGCTTCCCACCCAAGAACTTGTCCTTTATCCTAAAAGTTCAATAACTTGATCAAATCAGGTCTTGTTGAACAGCTATATAGTTTTCCTGAAACTTCTTGTGCAATTTCAATCCGTTTGTCCTCTTTGTTAGGTTCCTTTCTTCAGTGGCAGCAACTATCTTTATTTTGGATCTCCTGTCTTCCACGTGTCTTTGCTTTTCTAATTATTTCAACCTATATTCGTTGAAATGTCTATAAAGCTATCAGTAATTCAATTTTCATTCCAGTTTTTTCTGTATGTAATTTATTTACATTTCTTTAGATGTGTAATCTTCCATTTCATCTCACTGTTATCATTTTCTTGTCTGTTTTTTTTTAATTCAAAATCTCATTAAGTTGATGTACAGCATCAAGTAGTTGGAAGCAATCTCCTTATTATTTTTCCTCTATGATCAGTTGTCAGCATTTACGTGCTGTTTTCTTCCTCTTTATTTTCCCATCATAGGATATTTGCATTAGCTACAACGTCATTTCTTTCATCTTGCTTGTGGTTAGATATTGCTCTCCAGACATTTGCAAAGCGTGGGTGATTTCTTGATTCTTTTTCTGCAGTACCTAAGACAACTTTACCCCTCCATCCTAGTTGTAGTGTGAGAGCTGATATTTTATGTTCTATCCACTGTTCTGAAGTCTGAGGACGTGCTGGGGCTCAGACAGAGGAGTATATAATCTATTAGAATAAACCACCCAGACTCTGCTCTCCTCGGAGATTTTAAGTGTCCTGGGTCAAGGCATAGCCCAAATTAGAAGCAGACCCGACTTTTGGGCAGAGAGAGTCAGCCACCCAATTAATTTCCCCTCTTTCCACCCAAGCCCTCCACAGCAACGATTTCTTCCACTCTTCAATTAGGAGAGTGAAATAACAATGATCCCCACTCAGTTTGCATCTGTCCAGATTTGGGGTTATTTGTAAGAGCTCTCAGAATCTCACCCATACAGTTTCTGTGGGGCAAAAAAAAAGGTCAGTTGTATGGTTCCTGTGAGTCTGTTTTAAAGTTTACTGGATTAGGTAATACTCCTTTCCTCATTTGGTTACCTGCTGCTCAACCTTTCTTTTTCTTTTTCAAAATTTTTTTTTTTTTAAGAAAGAGAAAGAGAGAATCTGAGTGGGGTGGGGAGGGCAGGGAGAGGGAGAGAGAGAATCTTAAGCAGGCTCCACACTCAGCGCAGCGCCCAAGGTAAGGCTCGATCCCACAACCCTGAGATCATGGCCTGAGCTGAAATCAAGAATTGGATGATTAACTGACTGAGCCACCCAGGTGCCCCTTTACTTTTTCTTTTTAAACATTTTTTCTTTAAATTTGCTTAAAGGAAGGAAATTCAGTGATAAAGTTTCAACTGGAAATCTTAACCTAGGAGACCAAGACCATTTGTCTAAGAGGACTCTTAGGTGACATAAAATGGGGACTGCTTTCTAATGCAACTTAAAAGTTTTGGATTAACAGGGTTGTGGAAAAAATAGTAAGCTCAACTGCTGAAATATGCTTATGTAAGAGTATAAATGATGATAAAATTTATAATCTAAGTTTCAGAAATACTTCTTCTAAAAGAGGTCACTGTATTTTTACTTTCCATGAGTTAGTAAAAATTTATTTGAAACTATATTAATTTTTTACATGAAACACATAAAGCTGTAAAAATCACGTTTTGATCAAGTACAAGCAGAAAAAATTTTACAAACACATGTGGCTCAGGAGGTATACCAGTCACATAAAAGCAAGAGGTGACATTAATATTTCCAGGAACAAATATTTGTGAGGGAAATAAATAATTCATTTACTCTCCTATTCACCTGATAAACACTTACTTGAGCACATTCAATGAGCTAAGCTCTGAGCTGAGTGAGCAAACAAGGTCTCTAACCTCAGAGAACATAGTGGAAAAGGCAAAAAATAAGCAAATGCAACAAGGGGCACATACAGCATTAAAAATGATACCCACTGCTCTAAAGGAAATGAAAACTATGAAAAAGAACAGGGAGAACCTGACAGAACTGGATGATTGGGAAAGATCTCTTGTGGTACAGTTAACTGAGATCTAACAGGTGAGAAGAAAACAGCTCTAGGGTACAACAGCAGGAAGAGTCTGGATCAAAGGGAGGAGTGAGCACAAAGGCCTTTAGAGTAAGGATGCACCCAGAGAGTTTTGGGTAAAGCTAGAAGGCTGGGGAGGCAGGAAAGGAACAAGTTGAGTCTGGGAAGGTGAGCAGAG